GGGGGGGGGGGGGGGGGGGGGGGGGGGGGGAGGCCCGCGGGGAGCAGGCTCCCCGCTGAGCAGGGATCCCAATTCAGGGCTCGTTCCCGGGACCCTGAGATCACCACCTGAGCCGATAGCAGAGGTTTAAGCCACTCAGCCACCCAGACGCCCTGTGTTTCACATTTTGAGGCCCGTTCTCCTGTGTTCCGTGATCTTCCAGGTTCCCTGGGGGTGGGGGTGGGGGAAGACCAGACCCAGAGACGCTGGAAGGAATAAGCCAAGCCAGCCACCCTGACTGGCCTTGAGGGAATACTAGGGGATGGGGGAGTGTCCCAAGCAGCTCCTCTTCCAGTGCTCTGTAGCTTAAGACAAGCCCCAAGATGGATTTTGGACCTTAATTTCAAAACAGATTCAGGAAAGAAAAACACTTTACTGTTCAGCGTTCTGTGTACTTTCTCTCTGCTCTGGCTCAAGCCTCGGAAATAACACACGGTAAAAAAACAAAAGCCCTTATAACACGGCTTGACCAATAAGCAAGCCAAGAAGCGTCTCAAAGACGTCCCAAATTTAAGTCTCCAGCGATGATCAAAATGGCTAGTTTGCGCTCAGATGTCAGTGTCCGGCACGGCGGAGATCTCCCTGCGGCACCGCCGCAGACCCAGCAGGGAGCCGCCCCGCCGACACACACAACCCGCTGCCCCGGCTGCTGAAGCCCGCCGACCGCCAGGACAGTCCCCTCCCCTAACTGGGAACTCCGCGTGCGGGTCCCCTAAGTTGCTCACATCCTCAAAGGGCCCGCTGAGCCCGCCCTGCTGCTCGGTGCCCAGCCCCGGAGCCTCTCCGCGGCCGGAGGGGCCCGGGGCAGGGCCCAGGCCCGCGCAGCGGTGACCCGCCAACATGGCCGTCCCCCGGGCCACGCACAAGCGCTGAACCACGCGAGGGAAGAAGGCTCCTCCGCAGCTCCGCACGCACGCCGAGGCCGCCGGCCAGCACATGCCCACCGCGGCCGCCTTCCGGAGAGGCCGCCCCGGCGGGCCGCGCCAGCAGGCTTCCCCGGGCCAGCCGCCCACTGCCCCGGCCCCCGCGGCTCCCCAACGTGCCCCTCGCGCTCCCTGCGGCGACCCCGCCGCCTCCCGGGTCCCACCACCGCCGCTGGGGCCATCGCAGGCCGCCCGAGCCGACAACGGGGGCCGTGGACACGGCGGTCCCGGGCCCTCCCCGCCCCGGGCCCCGAGCCTCCCCGCCGGCCGCCTCTCACCGCGGTCGAGCCCTTCTTCACGGCCTCCTGCGCGTACTCCACTTGGAAGAGGTGGCCGTCGGGCGAGAAGACGGTGATGGCGCGGTCGTAGCTCATGGCGGCGCGGCCGGAAAAAGCGCACACTCACGGCCGCTCCGCCCGCGGCTCCCGACGCCTCTCCCCCCCCCCCCCGCCCCGCACTGCGCTGCGGACGTACGCGGCGTCTGCGGACGTACGGCGGCGTCGGCGGCGTCAGGCGGCGTCGGGCGGACGTGCGCGCGCGCCGGGGCGGGGCCGGGGCCGAACCACCGGCTGCCGGGCGCGGGGGGCGGCGGCGGCGCGGCGGCGGGGGGCCGGGCGCGGGGCGCGGAGGGGCCGCCCGCGGGGCGTCGCCTGGGACTCGGCCGCGGGTGCGGGGGCCGCGCGGGGGCGGCGGCGCGGCGGGCCCGGGGGCGGCGCGGGGGCACGGCGGGGCGGGCGAGCCCACGGTGCGGCGCCCCCCGCGCCCCCCGCCCCGCCCCCTAGCCCCCCCGCCCCCCAGCGACTGCGGAGAATGAGCGCCCGGGGCCGCCGAGCGCCGCCGGAGCAGAAGCCCCGAGGATCTCGGGCCCATCCCGCGCGCGACCATGTCGGTGGCCTTCGCGTCCGCCCGGCCGCGAGAAAGGGGAGGTCACGCAGCAGACCATCCAGAAGGTGGGCCGGGGCGCGCGGGGCTGGGGCGCGCGGGGCGGGCGCGGGGCGCGAACAAAGCCGGGGCGCAGCCGACCGCCGCGACCCCGCCGAGCCCCCCGCCGCCCGCGCCCGCTCGGAGGGGGGCCGGGGCCGGGGGTCCGCCTGGCGGGCGGCGGGGGGCCAGGGCGCTCGGGGTGGGGGGTGGCGGGGGACGACCCCGGTCCGCCCGCCGCTCGGCCGTGGGGCCCGGGCCTGCGAGGCCCCCGCGGGGGCGTGGGGGGGTGCGCCGAGCCGGCGGCCCGGAGCCCGTCCCGGAGCGCGCGGGGCCCGGGGTCGCCCTGCCGGCCGCGCTGCGCCGCCCTCCCGCGCGGGTCCGGCGTTCTCAGCGGACACCCGGCGGCCTCCTCACCTGACAGAAACTTTCCCGGCTCGCTTTCCAGCGTCCCCGCGTCCGAAGTTGGGTTTCGCGGCGGTGCCGACGCGCGGCTCACGGCGGGGGCCTCCCGCCCCGGGGCCTGACGCTTGCAGCCCGGCGCCCTGAATTTTCGTGCTCCTCAGAAGGCGCTTCCAGGAGGAAGGCGGCACGAGCCGTTCCCGTCGAGTGTCCCTGCGCCGCGGGCAGCCGCCCTCATTGCTCCTTCGCCCTCGGGGTTCTTGGGGCCGCGTCCGCCCGGGTCCCCACTAGCAGCCCCCGAGGGATCCCTTCCTCCAGGTCCCGCCAGGACCTGTGGACCTTGTCCTCCGCCTTCCCGCTGGGGACGGCTCTGGCGCGCGGGTGTGCGGCCGCGGCCGCAGGCTGTGAGCGGGAGAGCGACCCGGCAGCCGCGACACACGGACGGAGAAGCGCGCGCTGTTTTCTGTGCCGCGCGCCGGCCGCGGCCAAGGGCTTTACAGGTCTTAATCTCGCTTAATGCTTTGCGACGGTGACCGTCGTCCCTGTTTACAGACGAGGACCCCGAGACCTAGCGGAGCTTCGTGCTTCGCGGGGAGACACTCCCGGAGAACGCGCTTCCGGAGCAAGACTGTTCCATCGCCCAGGGCTTGGCTGGGCAGAGGCTCAGAGGCGCGCTGGGCCCCAAGTCCAAGGGGGTCCCCTGGCACTTCGGCTTTTTGGAGCTCAGACGTCATGGGCGCAGTGACCGTTTCCGCAGCTGCCTTTGGCCTAACGGTCCTTCCGTTGTTTGCGCTGTGCCCTCGCCCTCACGAACGCTCCCCCAAGCCCGCCCCAGAAGGGTGCGCGGCGGGCCCTGCTCCCCGACGCGGACCGGAGAGGGAAGCCCGCTGTCCGTCCGTCGGAAATCGGTCGGGTTGGCCGCTCAGCCGGTGTGCCCCGGCGGGGTGAGCGGCCCGTACCTGCCTTGCTGGGCGATGCAGCCCGGGCTCCGGTGGGCGGGCTGCGGGGCTCGGAGGCGCGCGTCCGCCGCTCACGCGTGGAGGGTTGGCAGAAGCCGGGTTCCTCGGGAGCCAGCGTGGTCGGGCGGACCGGGAAGTAGCTTGACCTTAGGGCGTATTTGAGCAGGACTTTGTCGGGCAAACTCCACCTCAGCCTTGAAGGTCCGGTCAGGTGTCCTCTCCCTCACCCTGTCCCGGCAATAAGGGGGCGAGTGTAGCGCCCAGAGCTTTGCGAGTCACTGAATCATCCCTCGTCTGTGTCTAGCCTGGCGCTGTGCCGGGCGCAGTCGGGGCTGGGGGCGCACAGGAGCGCGGGCGACCGCCATCCGTCACTGGAGGTGTCGGGGAAACCAGATGTGTGCGTTTTTGGGGGCTGCCATGATGTCCTTGTAAACTTAGTGCTTTTAAAAAGTGGGTTAAAGCCTCTGCCTTCGGCTCAGGTCATGATCCCAGGGTCCTGGGATCGAGCCCCACATCGGGCTCTCTGCTCAGCAGGGAACCCGCTTCCCCCTCTCTCTCTGCCTGACTCTCTGCCTACTTGTGATCTCTGTCAGATGAATAAATAAAATCTTTAAAAAAAAAGAAACCAACGGAAATGTAATTTCTCACAGTCTGGGGACCTGATGTCCAGAATGTAGGTGTTGGCGGGTTGGTGACTTTCTGGGCTTTTGGGGGGATCTGCTGTATATTTTTCTCTGAGTTCCTGGTGCCACCAGCATGTAGACGCGTCCCCCCATCTCTGCCTCGGTCTTCCCGTGGTGTTCGTCTCTGTGTCAAATTCCTCTCTTTCCTTGAGGATGCCAGTCACAGGGCTTAGGGCCCTCTCTTTTTCCGTCTGATCTCACCTTGACTTGATCACACCTGCAAGGATCATTATCTCCAGATAAGGCCGCATTTGCGGACACTGGGGATGAGGACTGAAACACAACGCCCTGAGGACCACCGTGTAACCCAGGACAGAGGGCATGGGGGGCAGCGGTACTCCAGACTAGGAAAGCCAAGGTGCAAGGGTAGGAGGGGTCTAGAACATCGAGGGAGTTACAGGTGGTCTCACACATGGCCTGTGTAGGAGCGTATGAAAGATTGAAGGAATCGAGGGTGGTCGCACTGGTGGCCTGCACGGAGCAGGTCATGGGACCAAAACGGGAACGGCGGGGAGGGCCAGCCGGATCGGCGGAGCCTGCCCTGTGTGCTGCCGCGCTTTCTCTCGTGGTGACCGGACACCGCTGCGCTGCGTGGGAGACGTAGGCGGGACTGGCCTCTGCCAACCACAGGGAATGGGACTTCGCCAGGGCCCCTGAGGTGGAGATGGGCAGTGTCTCCCAGCAGACTCCAGGGGTCCCCGTACCTGGCTAGGTGGCCTGCGGGCCGGGATCCGCCGTCACAGCTCCCCCTGGCTGGGGCCTCCTGAATCCCTGCTCGCCAGCACGGGCCCCCGGGGCTGGGCGTGGGCACAGCAGAGGGGCCGGGCGCAGCAGCACTTGGGCAGAGCCCTCCTGTTGCTGGGCACACGGTGGTTGCTTAGTAAACGTCAGCGTCGTCCGTTACTGCTAGTGTTGGTTTTCGTAATCCGTTTTCCTGGCCAGAGGGTGGCCACAGCGTCTGTCTGTCCGTGCGCCCGGCCGTGCGGTGGGGAGGCGGGCTCTGTGGGAGCGGGTCGGAGCTGGTAGACGTTTGGGCCCCGGGGCTGCTGCCAGTGCAGGTCCAGTGTGGGCAGGTGAGCCGCGTGAGGGCAGGTGCCCTGCCCAGGCTCTGAGTCAGGGGCCCCGTTGGCCTCCAGGGGCACAGAGGGGAGGGTGGCCACCGAGATCGGGGGCGGTTGCCGTGTGCTCTCTCAGACATGGGATTTGTCTTAAAGAACGCGGGCTAGCTCGGTAAGGAAAGTGCAGTGACCTGTCCCCCGACTGCAGATGGCCCGTGGAGGCCAAGCCCCACCTTGGCTGACCGGCGGTCTGAGGCTGCTGGGACGGAAAGCCTCCTCCCCGGAGCAGAGCCCGGGTCAAGGGAAGGCCCGAAGTGGTCCCCTCCGCAGGGACAGGAGGCGGTGGTGCGGGTGGGAGCACGGTCCGGGGGCGGGTGGGCTCCGTGGAGCGGCCGAGCCCTCCTGCCGCGCATCCCTCCAGAGACAGGCTGCGCCCCGCCTGCTGCCGGGGCCCCTCAGAGCCCCACAGAGCCCCGCAGGCCGGCAGAACGAGGAAGCATTTGAGGGAAGCGCGGGGCTCGCGTCCGCGGGCGCGCGCCGCTTTTCCTCGCCGCAGCCGAGTGTGCAGCTCGAGGCGGACGGACGGGCAGCAGCCGGGCTCTGCCACATGACGCAAACGGCTGGTCCCCCAGGGCGCTCCCGGGGCTCTGGCCCTCCGCCCCAACCCGCTCCCCTGCCCCGTGTGCTCGGGAGTCAGAGGCCGGTGGCGCTGGGATCCCCGGCCCCATGGGGGCAGGAGTCGGGGGCCCGGCCCTATGGCCCCGCGTCCTGGACCTGTGAGGAGGTCGGGCCGGTCTTTCCTGCCTGAACCACAGAGCGCGCCCTGACTGGCCGCCTGGCCCCGTGAACGTGACTAGTCCGAAGGCTCCAGGGAGAAGGTGCTAGATGTTGCTGCAAAGAGGGGTCTCGGAACTCAGTCCCGCTGCGCTTGGCCGGCGCGGCTCCGTGAGAGCGCACAGCTCCGCTGGCGGCTCCTGTTCCTGTCAGCGTAGAGGTGCCGGGAGGTGGGGCAGCAGCAGGCCCCCGCGTTGCGGGCGAGGATGGGAGCCCACGGAGCTGCAGCGGAGCTTCCTGGACTCCGATCTCCTTCAGACTTAGCCTTTCTGCGCCTCATTTCCTCGGCTTTAACGTGGGTGACGCTGTGAGTTCCTCACGGGCTGTGCTTCTGGCTAAGCCAGGCGACGGGCACAGGAAGGCGCTGGGCAGCCTCACTTGACCGGAATTTATCCGTGGCGTCTGAAAACGGTGTGAGGGGCCCTTCCCGGATGGCAGGTCACGGTGGCGAGTCCAGGGTCGTACCGAGAAGAACACAGGGCCGCTGCTCCCTGGGCAAGACGCGTGCGAACGTGGCGCCTTTGAGAGAACACGCGCCTCTTCCCTGCACACGGAAGCTCTCACGAAGCCGAGCGGCCTTGCTGCCTGTGACCGGCATCCGTGCGCGCTCGCAGACCCGAAGACGAAGACGGGAAGCGACTCCCGCGTGCCCTCAGGAAGACAAAAGCGTGTTTGCTGTAGCGATCACATTAAGTGCGTTTTGCTGTGTCCTTAGATTTTGGAAATGGGCCGCGGGGGTCGGACACAGAGCTAGAGCCACAGGGCAGGGCCAGCTCCTCCCGAGAACGCCTGGCACGTGCGCTTGGGTTTTTTTTAAACCCACAGCCCTAATTCACATCAGGTCGCGTCCGTTGCTGGGTCCCACTGGCTTTCCTCAGTGGAGTCTGACACCACTTGCTCTCGTGCCTCCCCGGTGGCTGCGGGTGGAGAGGGGCCCTGATCCAGGAGTGGCGTGGCTGCCCTGAGACCGGAGTTGGCAGAGGCGGCGGAAGTGCCAAGTGCTGATTCACCACCGCCTGTGATGCTCACGCGGCTGTCCGTCCGCTCGGCCAGGGTGGCTCCCTCTCACACCGCAGGCTGCTCCTAGGAGCTTCCCTCGAGTGTCCATCCACCGCATGTTGTGGGCGGCGAGCACTGTGGCCCTTTTGTGTAGCAGCAGAAGGCGTGAGGTTGAGTGAATCCCACGCGGGATTGTCTCTTATTTGCTGATACGGAATAATCTCCAACAAAACATCAGAGTAGAAAAGGACCAGCATAGCCAGAAGGAAGAAACTGCTCCACCTATACACACGGTGAGGGAGGCGTATGTCCACAAAAGAGCAGAGGCTGTCTCAGCCTGATGGCTTTGGGTGGGAAGATCAGAGGGGCAGAGATGGGAGAGAGACACTAAGACAAGGATCTCACCGCCACTCACCAGCCATAACTCACTGTTGACCTCACCACCGGCCCCTCCAGATGGTATTGCAAACGTCTTGGGTCATCTCGCCTCAGAAAGTCCTGCTCAGGATTGGTCGTGTCTTATCAGGAAGTCTCCCCTCAGGATCAGTTCGTTTCTCCTCAGGAAGTCTTGCTCAGGATTGGCTATCTCCTCAGGAAGCCTTCTCTTGAGATCGGGTCATCCCTTCTCAGAAAGTCTCGCTCAGGATGGATCATCTCCCTTCAGGAAGACACCTCCCAGATACATACCTCAGGATAGGTAATTTCTCCCAGAAAGTCTTGCTCAGGATTGGCCGTCAACTCAGGAAGCCTTCCCTTGAGATCGGGTCATCTCTCCTCACAAAGTCTCGCTCAGGATTTGTCATCTTTCTTCAGGAAGACACCCCCTCACACACACATCTTAGGATAGGTAATTTCTCCTCAGGAAGTCTTGCTCAGGTTTGGTTATCTCTCTTCAGGAAGCATTCCCTCAGGATCAGGTCATCCCTCCTCAAACCCTGCTCCGGATCGGTCATGACTCCTCAGGAAGCTTCCCTTCAGGGTCAGTCATTTCTCTTCAGGAGCCTCCCCTCAGGGTCAGATCATCCCTCCTGAGAAAGTCTTGCACAGGATCAGTCATTTCGCCTCAGGAAGCCTCCCCTCAGGATCAGTCATGTCGCCTCAGGAAGCCTCCCCTCAGGATCAGTCATTTCTCCTCAGGAAGTCTTGCTCAGGATTGGCTATCTCCTCAGGAATCCTTCTCTTGAGATCAGGTCATTCCTTCTCAGAAAGTCTCTCAACTCAGGATGGGTCAGGAAGATCCACACACACACACACACACACACACTCCTCAGGATAGGTAATTGCTCCTCAGGAAGTCTTGCTCGGGATTGGTTATCCCTCCTCAGGAAGCCTCCCCTCCGGATTGGGTCATCCCTCCTCAGGAAGTCCTGCTCGTGATCCATTGGTCATCTCTCCTCAGAAAGGCTCCCCTCAGGATTGGGTCATCCCTCCTTAGAAAGTCTTGCTTAGGATCGGTCATGTCTCCTCACGAAGCCTTCCCTTGAGGTTGAGTCATCCCTTCTCAGAAAGTCTCACTCAGGATGGATCATCATCTCTCTTCAGGAAGACTTTACTTCCCCCCCCCCCCCCAACACACCTCAGGACAGGTAATTTCTTGGGAAGTCTAGCTCAGGATTTGTTATCTTTCCTCAGAAAGCCTTCCCTCAGGATCAGTCATTTCTCCTCAGGAAGGCCCCCTTCGAGATTGGCTCGAGATTGGTCATGTTTCCTCAGGAAACCTCCCCTCGGGATGAGGTCATTACTCCTCCACAGTTCACCAATTTCTGGCTTGTGTGAAAGAACTCAATGCCGTGGTTTCTCAGTCCATTCTTTGTTAGGATCTCTCTTTGTCCAAAATGTTTTTGGCAAACTGGCCCCTGGGAGAAAGTTCTAGTCTGGAAAGTCACATCCTTCAGTTCTGAGGAAACACACTGAACGATTTTTTGGATGAAATTTCTCCGTGTGTTTTCTTTCCGGAAGTCTGGGAAGAATAGTTCCTTGCCACTTGGATTGTTTTTCTAATTTTGTCATCTTTTCTGTTTTCTATTTCAGTCTTTTTAATCTGTTTTCTAGGAGTTTTCGTTAGTTTTGTATTTCAACCCTTCCGCTGGCGGGTTTTTGTGGGTTTTTTTTAAGATTTTATTTATTTATTTGAGAGACAGGTCGCAAGTAGGCAGAGAGGCAGGCAGAGAGAGGGGGAAGCAGGCTCCTCGCTCAGCAGAGAGCCGGACTCGATCCCACCACCCAGAGACCCTGAGACCGAGACCGAGACCGAGCCGACCGCAGAGGCTTAACCCACCGAGCCCCCCAGGCGGCCCCACTGGCGGTTTTTTGCTCCGGTCAGTCCAGAAACCGCCCAGGGCCCTGTTCTGTGGGGTCCGTGCTGTGCTCGGGGCTCGCACTGGCGGACGCCGTCTCCTTCGCTGCGGGGGACGTTACCGGCCCTCGGCGGTTCTCTCCACCGTGCGCGGCCCGCAGGTGCGCCCCGTGGCCCCGGCGGCTCCGGGCGGCTTCCCGGGAGCCCTCGCGGAGGCCCTGGCCCGGCTGGGGGCGGGGCGGGGCGCTCGGGCGTGGGCGTGGTCCGCGGCGTCCGTGGCGTCCCTGGGGCCGCGCTCCGGCCTCCGCAGCCGCCCTTCCTCGGACCGTCTCGCGCGCCTCCTGCGGGGAGCAGGGGCCTTGTCTGGGCGCGGGTGCGGCTGTCTCCCCGCTGGAGCCCGGCTGCCGCCCCCCAGTTCCGGAACGTGCGGCCGCCGCCGTCTCAGAGCCGAGCGGTGATGGCAGCCGCGGCCTGTCCCTCGCGCCCCGAGGGCGCGGGGGTCGGAGCTGGGGGCCTCCAGTCAGCCGCCCTTCACCCGCCTTGGCCTGGCCTTCTGTCCTGCGTGTTTCTGACGTCGCGGCGATCGTGCTCTGTCCCTTGCTTTTTCCTCTTCTCGCCCTTCCAGGCGAGCGTGTCCCCGGGCCCCGGGAAGCGTGGGGACGGTGACGACGGCCGCCGCTGCCGTGGGCCCTGGGCACGATGCTGCTCGAGCGTCTGGGGCAGGGTCGTCCCCGGCCTGCTGCGGGCACGGAAGCCGGGGCAGGGGCCGGACGGAGAGCCTCGGCGCCAGTGGTTGGGCCGTTCCCGGCCCTGAGCCCCCGGGCCCCTCTGCCTCTCCCACCTGGGCAGGCTCCTTGGCCTCTGCGGAAGTCACAGAACTGGGGGTGCGCGCTGCACAGCCGGGGAGGACAGAGCGCTTAGAGCAAGAGAGACCGAGCCCTGGGTCCCAGAGGCTGGGGGCGGGGGTGGCTCATATGGGGCCTCCTGGCAGACTTGGCCTTGCGGGGGGCAGTGCCCTCTGCCCCCAGTCGCCCCGCCGTGGGTGGGCTTGGGCCCCAAGCTCAAGCTCCGTAGGACAGGACTCCGAGGTCCAAGGGCAGTGCCCGGGGTGGAAGGGTGGGTGTCACTCTGGCCAGTAGCAAGCAGATGGGCCCCTCCTCTGGCTCAGGGGCCCACAGAACTGCGCCTGCCCGGGAGAACCTGCGCCGCGGTGACCAGGCACCGTTTGTTGGGGACAAAAGGTCTAGATGTTTCCTTTAGCACAGGTGTCTGAATAAAGAGCTTTTCGTGGAAAGCAACGTTTGCCCTGGGTCCAGCCCTGCCCCTCCTCCCCGAGGACAGAAGCTGGGTCCAAGCACGGGTGGTGAATGAGCCGAATCTTCTGTGTGCGGCCAGGCGTGCCCCAGCCCCCTGCCCCGGCCGTGCCCAGTGCCCACCAGACCCCGGCCGGCAGGGCAGGCTGCCTGGTCATACCCCCACCCCGCCGGTGCAGCCCTCCCGTGCTTCCCCTGCTCCTGTCGGACCTCTCCGTGCCTCTTCCCTCGCCACCTCCTGGGTGTCCCCAGGCTGCCCCAGGCGCTGCCCCCCAAGGGCCAGTCCCGAAGAGCTGGCGCTTACTGGGCTTTGTGATGCTCTGCGGGGCTGGGAGGCGCTGTTCGTGTGGCCGCGGTGTGGGGCCCTGCGAGCGGGAAGTCAGGGCTCCTGCGTCCCTCCTGTGCAATCCAGGCCCAGCCTAGCCGGGCGGACTGACGCTCTGCGGTTAAGGGTCCTAGAGGGCGAGTCCCGTGGGCTGTGGGATTTCCTCTGCCGAGCGCAAGACCCAGAGCCTGCCCCTGGGCTTGCAGAGGGTGGACCCTGGCATGTGGGAGGCTGTGCTTAGCCTGGGCTGTGGGATGTGTTTGGTCCTGCTGGCTGGGCTGGCGTGGGAGAGTTCCAGGCCTCCCTCATGAACACCCGCACGCCGGTGACCGTCGCCGGCGTGCACGTGACGGAGCGCCTCCCGCAGGCGGCCTGTCATCCGCCTCGAGCGGGCACCGCAGACGCGTGCGTAGCCGTGCTCACGTGTGCTTCCCCCGCAGATGCTGGATGAGAACCACCATCTGATCCAGTGCATTCTGGACTACCAGAGCAAGGGCAAGACGGCCGAGTGCGCCCAGTAAGTGACCGGCGGGCCATGGCGGTCCCCCTCAGAGAATGGCACTCCAAGGAGGGCAGAAGGTTTGGAGGGAGACACAAGTGTGGGTGGAGAGGGGACTGCTGGTGGACACACCAGGGGACTGTGAGCTTCTCCGGGTAGGACCCCAGGTGACCCCCAGGGCTGGATTCAGAGCAGGAGCGCGAGCGCCAGCCGTCTGAGCCCCCCACAGGTGTGACATGTGTGAGCCACCGCCACGCTGGGCTCTCCCCGTATCCCTCTGGCCTGTTTGGGGGAACCTTTTCAGGGGTGCGAAGGTATCGAGTCGGCCGGGTGTCAGGGTCCGATGGAGTAGGCCTTGTTTTCTGGCATTTCTTCCTGTGTCTCCCTCAGTCTCTGTCTTGTGCCTCCTGCCCCCCTCCCCCACCATTCTCTGAACAGACCTGCTGACACCCCCCTCCTTGGCCACCACCGTGGGGTCTTTCCACGTGTTGTCATCAGACAGGATCCCGCTCAGGACCTTGGTCCCTGTCTGGCCCTGTCCTAAACCACAGTTTGCTCCCTCATCCGTCCTGTCCCCGGGCAGTGTCAGAGGTCTGTCCCCCCAAGGGCTTGGCTACGATGGGCCTGCCGGCCCCTCTGCCTCACCACGTGCCCCTGACCTGCAGGTACCAGCAGATCCTGCACCGGAACCTGGTCTACCTGGCCACAATCGCGGACTCCAACCAGAACATGCAGTCCCTGCTCCCCGCCGTGAGTGCCCGCAGCCTGGGGCCGGGGGCGCGCCCTCACCCAGCACGCTCAGGCGCAGCTTCAGGCTGCCACTGGGGGGGAGCGGAAGTCTGAGCGCGTCACCTGCAGTGACCAAGTCACAGATAGGCGCGGGGGAAGGGGGCAAGTGGCCAGCCAGCAGGCTCTGAAGTGGACTGTTCAGAATTGTGACTCCAGTCTCTTTAGCCAAGGGAGGTGACCCCGAGGCTCCAAACCTAGACATGGTGGGAGGCGGGACTGGGGAGGACAGGAAGTGGTGCGGGGATGAGCTATTGGAAGGGTGGGGGCCCAGGACCGTACACAGCTCTGACCTCCCAGCAAAACCACAGAGGCACGCAGTGCGGGGACACTGCAAACGTCCATGTAAGCAGTTTTCTTCTGACTTTTTAAAATCCATTTTCCCAAAATCAAATTATTGCTGTGAAGACAAGGTCCGGCGGTGGCTGCCTCCCGCACCGGGGACAAGAAGGCGCAGCCCTCGGAGGGCCCGGCCCGTGCTGGCCGTGATGCGCAGGGAGGTTCCAGGACAACCCTGTCACCGGGAATGGCTTATCTCTCGATGTCCCCAAGTCCCTTGGAAAGTGACATCATAAGTGCCAGGAAGTGTTTAACTGATAAAATCATTAAACCAACACGATTAGCCCATGAAATTGCGATTCCTCACCTCAGAGGCAGCAGCAGGTCCTGCTGGGAACTTTGTCTTTGGCCGGGTCTGGGTAGCTCATGCGCCTGAGGCTCCGGAGCTGCGGTTTGGTCTGGATCCGGGAGGTGAGGGCGCAGGGGTCACTCCGTCCCATGCCCCCTCCACGCCAGTCAGAGTGGGGCCTGCGGTAGGCAGCGCACACAGAGAGGAGGAGCAATGGGAATGCCAAGGCTAAAGCACAGGGTAGTGTGTGCAAAGGCTCTGGGGCGTGGGGTGGTGTGGATGAGGGGCATACGGAATCCTGGCCGGCTGAGCAGTGTGGTGAGGTGAGGGCGGTGCGGTCTGGTGGGCTGACGAGGTGGTTCGCTGTATCCCCAGGAAAGCGGGCCCAGCTTTGAGTCTCTGAGTACGTGTTGATTGAAGTTCTGAATGTTCCCACGAGAATGCTTAGTGTGTCGTGCCCTTGGCCTGAGGTGGTGGGGCCTGGTCATCCGCAGCTGATCAAATGCAAGAGCCACAGGGGGTTGTAGACGTTGGCCAGGTGGCCGTGAAGCACAGGTGGGCCTCACGAGCCGCCCGAGCCCTGGAGGGCTTCAGGTGCTTGTTCTCCGGGTTAACCACGTCCCTGTTACCTCCCTGTGTCCCTCAGCCGCCGACCCAGAACATGAACCTGGGCCCCGGAGCGCTGTCCCAGAGCGGCTCCAGCCAGAGCCTGCACTCCCAGGGCAGCCTCAGCGATGCCCTTGGCACGGGCCTGCCTCCGTCCTCCCTCATGCAGGGCCAGATTGGCAACGGTGAGTAGCCCTGAGCCCTTCGGGGTTGGGGATGGCTCCCGGAAGCACGTAAGCCGCGCAGGCTTCTGGGTGACCGCTGTCTCAGTAGGGTGCCCCATGCCCTGCAGAGCTTCACGGGGGCCCTCCCTCCTCCTGAGGCCCGGGCTGCTGGTCTGCTGCCGTGCCCGGGCACCCGAGCGCGGGGGGTCACGTGCAAAGGGAATCCTGCACTCCACATCCTCTACTCAGCTTTGACAGTGTCAAATCGCAGCCCTGTCCAACGTGTGGGGTTCCACGTGGATCTTTTTAACCAAGAGCAAAAAGGTTCTCTTTGGAGCAGGAACCGTTGCTAGCCGCTAGGAGCTGTCCCTGCGAGAGCGAACCGGCGGGTCGTCTCCTCGGTCAGCACGCGTGCTTGTTTCTTGGCTCAGCACTTGACCCTCACTTCATTCGGGCGCTGTTGGCCACGGGCTAGTCTCTGTCCCCGCGGTCACGTGAAGGAACTCTGGGTGTCTGGCAGCAAGGCCAGGCTTCCATGGGGTTGGGGTCCTCCCTGTGCTCCTGGCAGGTCCAAACCACGTGTCCATGCAGCAGACGGCCCAAAGCACGCTGCCCACCACCTCCATGAGTATGTCCGGTAGCGGCCACGGCTCGGGGCCCGGCTACAGCCACTCAGGACCCACCTCACAGAGCGTGCCCCTGCAGGGCCAGGGTGCCATCGGCAACTACGTGTCACGGGCCAACATCAACATGCAGTCCAACCCAGGTACTGCCCTGCTCCGCCCTGGGGCACCCCCTCAACCCTGGGACGGTCCCTGGTCCCTCTGAAATGTGTGCACACTGCACACAGGGTCCTGGGGCCCTTCTGAAGTGGGGGGGACCCTGGGGTCTGGGTTTCCACTGTTTCCTGTGGCAGCTCTGGGGAGGGCTCTGACGAGGGGCGACACATCCCCTCCTCAGGGGACAGAGTGAGGCTCACCCGGGATGGGGGCAGTGCAGGCCCACAGACATTGACACTGGGTACCATCAGGCCCAAATGCAGATGTCCCAGAACGTCAGGCACTAGAGTTCAGAGGCTTAATACGGAAAGGGAAAGCGTGTAGTATCTCCTTAGTTTATTTTTATTATCAATTATATACTGAAAATAAGAGTATTTTGGGTATATGGAGTCAAATAAAACATGTTACTAAAACAGATGTCGCCTGTTGGCATCTATTTCTGACGTGGTTCTCCTCAGTGCTGCCCCAGCAGGTTCCGAGCAGGGGCGGCACCACCGGACGGGGGCAGGGGGCAGAGATTGCCCTCCAGGGGCCTTAGAGGCCCAGGTCTCCCAGGCGGACACAGGCCTGGCTCCTCTGGGAGCAGCCTTAGGGGTGCGGGAGGACAGGACTGGCGATTTTCCAGCGTGTGGAGGCAGCCCGGGAGCTGAGGTCTGGGTCCAGGAGAAGGGTGCCGTTGGGGTCTGGGGTGCAGATCAGGGTGCCTCCCAGGGAGCTTCTCGGGGTTATTCGGGTCTGTCGTGTCGCCCAGTGTCCATGATGCACCAGCAGGCAGCCTCGTCCCACTACAACTCGGCCCAGGGCGGCAGTCAGCACTACCAGGGCCAGTCATCCATCGCCATGATGGGCCAGAGCGGGCAGGGCAGCACCATGATGGGCCAGCGGCCCATGGCGCCCTACCGGCCCTCCCAGCAAGGTACTGCCTACGCCCCGCCTCCTCCCCGAGAACTGGGGTGGGGGGCTCTGCACGGTCCTTAGCATCGAGCGAGGGGGTGGGGGGTCTGGAGCTGTGTGGGGCTCATGGGGCGCAGAAGGTTGAGAGCCTGTGCTGCTCCTAGAGGCGGACCTGGCTCGAGCTGCTGTAGGGGTTGGAGTCGGGTGGGGCGGTTGTATTTATAAGTTCCAAGTCTCGGGTGCCTGGGTTTGGACGTGGGGGAGAATACCCAGGCGGCCGGGGTGGGGGTTATCCTGTGACATGAGTGTTCTGAGTTCATGTCCCCCATGTGCTGTCCACCCCCAGGGTCGTCCCAGCAGTACCTGGGCCAGGAGGAGTACTACGGCGGCGAGCAGTACGGCCATAGCCAGGCCGCCTCGGAGCCCATGAGCCAGCAGTACTATCCCGATGGTGAGGCCCACGCCCATGCTATGCCATGACACCGGGCACCTCGGCGGCTCCCGGCCGCTGCTCTCTAGTCACTCCCGTTTGGACGCATCGCCCCAACTTCTGCCAGCAGAGCCCCCAGAGGCCCCTTGCCCAAGTGTGTTTGGGGATGAGGGTGAGGGCTGGTCTCAGGCCATAGCTACTCACGGATTCAAGACTCCTCATCCCCTTTCCCGAGACGCAGTAGGGGTTACGGCTGGGATGAACAGGTGCACGAGACAGTTTCCTAAGAGGGACACAAGTGTTCTCGTGAGACGCCTTCAGGAGGGTGTCGCCGCTGAGCCGCGTGTTTGCTGCTTTCATCCGGTGCTCACCTGTCAGTCGTTCCTCAACAGTCCCAGGGTTGGAGGTGGCTTCCAGAGTGGTCCTAGAGGGCGGGTGGGATTTGGGGAGGAGGACAACGCCAGGCAGGGAGCACGTAGGAGGTAGCAGCGCCCCTGCCAGGGAACGGTGACAAAGGCTTCCTGAGGGTGCAGGGCGCACCCCAGCAGGTGCCCCCAGGAGCCCGTGGCCCGGTGGCGGTGCCGGCAGAGCTCCTCGCGGGGCAGGCACTGACACACCCTCTCCCCTTTATGCACCGTGCTCCTCGGGTCCTCACGCCCAGCCCACACGCGGGGTGGCGGTTTGCATCTTAAAGGAGGAAACGGAGGCTAGGTGGCGGTCGGAAGCCCCTTCCTGGGCTTTGTGCAGGGAAAACGGATCCAGGTCCGGTGCAGGACGCTCGGTTCCCGGCCGTCCGGGCCTTCGCTGACAGCACGTGGCCTCTGTCTGCCGCAGGACACGGCGACTACGCCTACCAGCAGTCGTCCTACACAGAGCAGAGCTACGACCGGTCCTTCGAGGAGTCCACGCAGCACTACTATGAGGGCGGTAAGGAGCGCACACAGCTCGCTGTCCAACGCGCGGCTGCAGCTGGTGGTGGGGCTCTGGGGCCGAGTGTGCCCGCCGAGGCCACACATGCAGGTCACGCGTCCCCGTTCACGACGCAGGTGGGTGGAGGGGGCTTGACTGGCCGCGTGGGGGTGGCAGGGGCCCAGACTCCACCATCAGGCCCGCTGAGCCTCTTGGGGCCTGTGAGCTCTGTCGAACCCCCTCCGGAGTTCCAGACTCAGTGGGGCAGGTTCAGCCCCCGCCCAGCCCCGAGCCAGCCGGGCAGGGCCCGTCGAGCGTGAGGCTTCCTTGGGTCCGGCCCGGCCACTTCTTCGGACATCTGCTGGCCTGGTAAAGCCTGCGGCAGCCCCCACCCCCCACCAGCCTTCCTCAGTGGAGCTGCCCCGGGGGCTTTCTGGTGGAGGTGAGGTGAGGCGAGGCGAGGCGGTGGTGAGAGGAGCCGGCTTTGTCAGCAGAAAGCCAGTGACTAGCTCGCGCCCAGTTCCCCGCTGGGAATACAACGCCCGCCCGAGGTCCGGCCTCCAGCGTGAGGTCACCACACACACAACGGGGAAGAAACCCGCACATTTGCTTCTCAGCGGGGCCCCCAAACAGCGAAGGTACATCCCCGCCCTTGGGAGACCCCAAGAGAGGAAAAAAACCTTAAAGTCCCAGGGAAGCGGGACCCGGCGGGCTTGGCCCCGGCTTCCTGTCCGGGTGTCCAAAGTAGGGACAGGGCGAGGGTTGGCAGCAGGCCCGACGGAGGGAGACAAGCAATAAACGTGAAACAGGCGGCTTGTGAACCCAGATGTTTTTGGTGGCTTTTTAAAAGAATTATGCTAAAAATACACGTTACCGCTGGGGGTGTTTCTGAGTGTGCCTGAGTGGCACGAAGCCCATCCACATCGTGCAGTCACCGTCCCCGCCGTCCGTCTCCCGGACTTGCTCCTCTTCCCAGACTGATCTTCTGGCCCCGTCAGACCCTGGCTCCCCGTTTCCCACCCCAGGCGCCCACCACGCCACTATTGCACATGACAAGTCTAGGGCCTTAACGTAAGCGGGGCCCTGCCGTATTTGTCCTGCTGACTGGCCCAGCTCGCTGAGCAGGACCTCCCCGCGGTGGTGTGTGCCGTAGCAGGTGTCAGGCCGAGTTGTTTTCTGTTGCGGGGACGCACCGGAGTGCGTGCGTCCGTTCAGCTGTCGACGGACACCTGCAGGTTGCCTCTGTCTCCCGGCTGTTGGGAACCCTGCTGCTGTGAACGTGGGTGTGCAAAGCTCTCTTCGAGTCCTGGCTTCCGTTTTTTTTGCATTTACATCTAGAAGAGAATTATGGGTCATAGGGTGATTCTGTGTTTAGTTGTTTAAAGAACTGTCGTACGGTTTTCCACACGCAGTTTGGTTTTTTACTTGCAATGCTAGGGGATGATAGGGCATCTGGAGACTACAGGAGAATCACCCAGAGGCTGTGCTGGGGTTGGTTACGAGTGTTTCCCTGCAGCGGCTTCCCACGTCCACACATTTGGTGCCGCTCAGGGACACGGCTCAGACCCAGCCTTCTTTTCCTGGGGAGTTTGGCTCCGAGACCCCGAGACTGCGCGTGCCCGGCGCAGTCACCCGGCGAGCCAGGTCTTCCCTCCGACCCCAGCGGCAGCCCACGTCGGCCCCTCCTGTTCTCAAAGCTGCCGCAGTGACCTGGCTGCCGCCCCAGGCTGAATTTGGAACCCGATGGTGGGTATAGTACCAGAGAACCGAACCATCCCAACCACCTCAAAGTAAGATTATTCATGAGGGACTCGATGTTCCTCATTATTTTTAGGAACTGGTTAAGTGTTGGCCCTTCGTGGTGAACAGGTAACGCTTTCCTTGTGCCTTCTCAGTCACCACAACTGCCCTTGGTCTTGCCTTCTGTTAGCAACCACACTAAGGTCCCACCTGGGACCACCTTGGCCCTCCCCCATCCACACAGGTGCCCCAAATGCTCTCTTCCTCTCCAGTTGAACCTCAGCTGCTTTTCACGTCCGCTGCCCCTGGGGAAGACAGGCGTCAGCGAGTGTTCTCTCTGTGTGCCTCCCTCGCCCTCACCTTGGGCCGCCCCCAAGATGGGACCCTGGCCCATGGCAGCTTTGCAGGTGCCTGGCTGTGACGGCCAGCCAGGGTCACCGGCATGAGTACAGGAGGTTCGAGGGACCGCAGGCTGACCAGGTAGATTGGGTGCACTCGGGTATCCGCGCTTCTGGGTCCCAGCCTGCCGGGAGGAGGTGGGCCGCCCGGAGCATCTCCCTGCAAACACGCCCCTGCCAGCCCTGCCCTCCGTCCCCAGATGCCCGTGCGCTGCCTTCCCTGCTGCAGGGTGCCTTGGCTTATCCCTGCTTTGTCCAGGTGAGGGTCCGAGGCAGAAACGACTTCCCCAAAGACAAGCCCCGGACGTGCACTCAGCCTCTTGAACTTGGAAGCACACATTTTTATTCCTTCGTGTTTGGGTTCCGTGGTCTTGCCTTCCGTAACTGACGGAAAGTTTGCTCTTCCGAGGCAAGTGTGGCAGATGGCACGGCTTCCTCCTGAATCTGGAAGCGTTTTGTTCCGTCTTGTTAATTGGACCCGTGGCTGGGACTCCACGTACTCGTGGTACGAGGTCAGGTCTCCCCACGGTGGGCGGCATTGCCAGGCCTTGTCGCGAGGCGCCAGGTGTCGTGCTTTGGGAAGACGGCTCTGCACAAGCAGCCTGTGACGCATGGAGGTGGAGGGTTTCGAGTGGAAGCAATGAGGGGGTGGAGCAAAGCCCCAATAAAGCCCCGCTGTTTCCTGTAAAACCCTGGTCCCACCACGGGATGAGGAGGCTGTGGAGCACAGGGGGCCGGTGCTGGGGTCTTCACAGGAGGTGGCATCTGACAGGGACCTTGTGTGGTCCCACAGACTGAGAGGCCTCTGGCCTGCAAGGGCCGGCGCCGGGAAGGGGCCAGGTTGCCGTAGGCCAGGCCGGGCAGAGTAAGGGGCTGAGGGGCCGACTGAGCCAGGCAGACACCACTCGCCAAGAGGGGTCCTGCCGAGCAACCCACGGCAGCTCGGGCGTCCTGCTGTACTTCCTGGCTGCGAGGTTTGCCGCAGCAGAGCCTGGAAGGAGCCTGTGTCCCCTGTGCCGTGCCCCAGGCACCGAGTCTATTAAAAGACACGGAACTCCCTGTGGGCTGCTGTGGCAGATTCTTCTGGGCTGGGCCAGGTGCTCAGGCCAGGTGTCGAGGATGAGGGTGTCAGGGGAGCCACTTTCTGTATGAGACCATGGCTGTGGGTGGGGGACGGGGCTGGGGAGCCCTCAGGGCTGGAGGTGGCCTTCTTCCCTGAAACTCTTGAAGGGGGACCACATTCGCTTTTACGTTTCTGTCACATGAACGTATGCGTCTGTGCAAAAGCTAAATTTAGAAGCAATAAACGTTACCAGTTGTCACTGAAAATCAAAGTGGCCTTACCTTTTGGCCATCCAGACTCATCCACGCCCCTGAGCCCCGTGGTCACAGCGCTGTCCTCGGGGGTCCCTCAGGGTCTTGCCCCAGAGACCGGCACGCCCCCTGTGAGTAAACGTCCAGACCAGTGGGGATGGCGGCTGCTCCGGGATAGCCGGTGGTGTCCCCGAGGCACAGCCTTGTTTCCAGAAGTAGTTTTATCAAACGCATCAGTGAGTCACTGGGCTATAGCTCCTGGTGGCGGCTGAGTCTGGTGGCTCCTTTGTGCCCACGTTCCTCAAGCGGGCCCCCTGGCTACCGGGTTTGGCTCCGCGGAAGGGAAGGTCTTCTGTGGTGCGTGGGAGCAGAGCCAAGGTCCTCCGCGGCACCCCTGCTCACATTTGTTGCGCACCTACCGTGCGCCAGGCCGTCGGCTAGGTGCACGTGACTGCTTCTGAATCGGTTACCATGTAAAGAGTGAAAGGGGGTGTAAAGCTGAGAAAACGCAGAGCGACCGACCATCTGAGGCCCCGGAGAACTGCTCTGTGACTCGGCTGTGCAGGTCCGCTGGCTGCGCACCACACCCTGGGGCCTGCGCCGCCACGCCGGGACCGCACCGGCTGGAAGGAAGGAGTCCCTCAGAGCTCGGGGCCTCCCAGGGCAGGGAGCAACTGTGGAGATGCGGAGAGTTTGCAGGGTCAGCAGGGAGGATGCGCCCTGGAGTCAGAGCCATCGCGCGTCTGCTGTTCTTCGTGGCTACGGTTCGAGTCCCCATGAGGGGTGCAAGCCTTTACAGCGACAGTTCTCAGGAAGGCTGCTGCTTAAAAATGACGTCTCCAGGATCTGGTTTGTGTGTTTGTTTAAAGATTCGTTAATTTAGTTGACAGAGAACACGAGTAGAGGAAGCAGCAGAGGGAGAAGCAGGGAGCCCGATGTGGGACGCGATCCCAGGACCCTGAGATCATGACCTGAGCCAAAGGCAGACGCTTAACCCACTGAGCCACCCAGGTGCCCCGGGACATGTTTTGATTTAAAAGAAAAAAACAGCCAACTATAGTAGTCCTCTCCCCCCACGCAGGGTCAGAGGGGTCAGGTGCTCCCTCCCATTCGTCCCCCGCGCCCGTTGCTCAGGTCACATCATTCCATCAATACTGGAGGGTGAGCACAGGACCAGAAGGCGTTTCCAGAGCCAGAAGCCACATTCGCACAACTCTGGTCACCGCACGTGGTGAAGGCTGTCTTCTGGCGTCTGTGGTTACTGACAGTCCCTGGCTGTGCCCCGTTCATCACTGACACCTGACGGCAGGTGCGTGCGTGCGGAGGGGAGCGCACGGTGTGTGCGGGCACGGCTCTGCCCTCGGCTTCCGGGGTCCACAGGGCCTACGATGGATTCCCCCCAGAGAAGGGGGTTGCTGTGTCCTTTCTGGGCCGGCCAGTCATCTGCCGTGGGGTGTTGGAGTCAAGTGACGGCCCTTCGTCCCCTCCACGCCCCTCCTTCTAGAGACTTGGGTTTGCACAAATTGGGGACAGGACTTACTACAAATTGAAGGCAGAGCACTTGGCACGGTTGAAGAACAAAGGCCTATTCCAAAAAAACGACGCTGGACTGTAATTGGTCTTTTCGCGAAGGTGTTTGGAAAACCGTGAGTGGGAGGTCACTCCCACGCTGCTCTGGGACGGCAGCCCTGCCACCGGCGTCCAGGATGTTTGCAGGAAGGGTTTAGCGGTTGCTCGTGCTGCCCGCTCAGGAGCGGCACGGTGGCACCCTCCCAGTTTTCCTCAGCCACGCTTCCTCCCGCGGGCTTTCTTCCACATGAGCTTGGGCACAGATGCGGACTGGCTAGAGTTTTTAAAATAAGAAGGCATTGTGGGGACACCTGACTGGTTCAGTCACTGGAACATGTGGCTCTTGATCTTGGGTCCGTGACTTCGAGCCCCATGTTGGGTGCAGAGATTACTTAAATAAACTTCTAAAACCTATAGAGGTAAGTATGTGCTCGTGGGAACTTAAGTAAGCGGTCTCCAAGGAGTGTCCTGGTCGCTGCTGCTCACCCTAGCGTGTCCTCAGCCATGGACTGGAACGTCCCTGAGTCTCCTTTCTGGAGGCCCTGAGCCATCCCGGAATGCCGGCTCCCGCGTCATCCTGCCGGCTTCTGCACCGCTGGGCGGTGCGCCTCAGTCCCCCACCTGTACAACGGGCACGCGGTTGTGCTTCTCTCATGGTGCTAAAGGAAGTATGCGGGATACCTGTCTCCTGCTTGGGACGCACAGTGGCCTGCAGTCCCGTTCCGGATTTTCCTTACTGGTGAGATGGTATTTCTCACTGGCTGACCCGCCGGCCTCGCAAACGAATAACCCTGCAGGACTCAACACCACGAGGCGCGCGTGGAGAACACCCTGGGGGTCACTGCGCTCTACGGATCTTAGTCCAAGACCCTCGGGGTGTCTCCGTTTACGCTCCCACACTGCACTGTGCCTTTTAGCTCCGTTCTCAGGCGTGCGTTTTTTTTTTTTTTTTTAAAGATTTTATTTATTTATTTGTCAGAGAGAGAGAGGGAGAGAGAGCGAGCACAGGCAGACAGAATGGCAGGCAGAGGCAGAGGGAGAAGCAGGTTCCCTGACGAGCAAGGAGCCCGATGTGGGACTCGATCCCAGGACTCTGGGATCATGACCTGAGCCGAAGGCAGCTGCTTAACCAACTGAGCCACCCAGGCGTCCCTCAGGCGTGCGTTTTTAGCTGTCTACAGGTTCTGTTACTGGGATCTTTACGCAAGCGAAACCATAGTTGATCGGAGGCTGAAACATGCTTCCTTCCGAGTCGCTGCTGCAGGCCTGCTGCCCGGCTGTCCTGGCGCTGAGGGCTGTGTGGCGAGGTGCCGCAGACGGGCCGCTGAGCGCAGCAGGAATCGCTCTCTCAGCTCTGGAGGCCCAAGGGCCGAGATCCAATGTCAGCAGGGTTAGTCCTTCCGGGGGCTCAACTGGAGGGTCCGCCCCAGACCCTCTCCCAGCTTCCGACAGGCTCCAGCAGTCCTGGTGTCCTTGGCCTGTAGGCACGTTACTTCACGCTCCGCTTTGGCTGTCGTGGGGCTTTGTCCCCGGGTCTGTGTCCAGGTGCCCTCTTGCGATAAGCAGGCCCATTCTAGTCAGTGCAGCGGGCCCTTACCTGTTCACATCCGCGGAGAGCCTTTGCCAAGTGAGAGCACGTGCACAGGTACATGACGTGGGCCTCAGTGTACCTTTCTGGGGGGCACAGTTCAACCCAAAACACTTGTATTAGCCTTAAATTGTGTTAACGGGGTCACTTCGGCTGTACCTCCATACTCGAATCGTTGTGAAAAGAGAAGACCTTGAAGCAGTTGAGCTGGTCCGGGGCTTTTCCAAGGGCTCTGCGTCGTGAGTGGCGAGAGCAATGCCTCCGTGCCCAGAAACGCACTGTGTGTCTCCTTCCCCCCACAGGAAACTCGCAGTACGGCCAGCAGCCGGCGGGGTACCAGCAGGGCGCAGCCCAGCAGCCGGCGGGGTACCAGCAGCAGTACTCCAACCAGCAGACCTACCCCGGGCAGCAGCAAGGCTACGGTAAGGGGGAGCGTCTCCCTGCGCAGGCCCCACGCACGGTCGTGCTGCCGCTCGCGCAGTGGACGCTTAGTCCGCTTCCTTCAGAAGAGTTTTGGATTTCCTGCAAAGCTGTGCAGCTAGTGCAGAGAGGTCCCTGCTGTCCGCCTCGCCTGACTGCAGTGCCGCCGTCACAGCTCAGCAGCTCCCGCCAGCACACTGCTGGGGACTGAGTGCACAGTTCACTCAGCTCTCACTCGTGTGCCCGACGGTCCTTCTCTGTCCCAGCACCCATCTGGAATCCCCCTTGGCACTGAGTCTCACGTTTCCTTAGGCTCCCCTGGGCTGGGACCGCACCTGGGAAATCCTTGTCCTTCTGGACCTTGGCGGTCTCAGCAAGACTGGGCAGGTGTTTTGTAGGACATCCTCGGGTTGGGCTTGCCTGAGGTTTTCCTCAGGATGAGACTGGGCCGTGGGCTTTGGAAAGACCTCACGGGGGGGGGGGGCAAGTTCTTCTTATCCCACGTCAACATGACTGGCCTCTGACGTTGACCCCGGTCCCTGGTCCCCCACCATCAAGTTATCCCTTCGTCCTCTACCTTTCCTGATCTTTGGAACCAAGCCACTGAACCCAACCCACGCTCCGGAAGGAAGAATTGGAATTTCTCTGTAAGGCAGAGTAATTAATTAATGATTAGTTATTAATCACTTATCAGTATGTATTCTTTGCATTCAGTTTACACAGCGGCTTAGATCCTAGACTTCTCTGATTCAGATCGTCCAGCTTCACCTTTGGGGACCTGGGGCCCTGCAGTCCCTTTGCCGTGCTCCCATCCTTTTGTCTTTGAGCATCTCCTTATTCCCTGGGACCACGGCACTCTCCGTGCTCTAGCCCTAGAAGCAACATGTCTCACGGGTGCTCTGGGTCCTCTGATGGGAGAACAGCGTTAGGGACCAGGGGCCGCGGTCAGGTGGGCATTTTCTGAGCACCCCACACACGGTCACCTGAGACAGCCCACGTATTGGTTAGCGTGGCGACAGCTTCTAGAAGCTCACACCCGCTCGCTGGCTTTTGTTCACCCTGTGAGGATTCCCTAAAGTTCCCGGGGGCCAGCGGGCCTTCACAGGCTCTGCCATGGAGCCTGCCAACAAATATTGTTCTCCAGGCCCATGGGACAGAGAAGTGGACAGAGGGAGCTTCTCGCACTCCAGTAGCAACAAGGGAAGAGCCCCGTCCACTGGAGATCAGCGGAATGCAGGCTCAGTCTCACTGAGGGCCGTCCTGCCCGGATAGTAGCCCGCACATCTGCCCGGTCCTCTGTGGGCCTCGTCCTCCCCAGGCAGATCCACCTGAAACAGTTGCTCCGGACCCCAGCCTTTGGGTCGTGTCTGCCGAGAGCCGCAACCGCACGAGGCTCTCCCCATGCTAACCAGCCCCCAAGATGCACACAGGCTGCGCTCCCCAGAACCCGGGGTGCTGGGGGCGGGTGGGTGGGGGAGGGGAGTTGTACTTCTAGATGCTGCTGTCACAGGAGGACAGCTGCCTACTGTTGCCACCACGTGATGGCCGGGCATGTGGTTAACATTCAGAATACACGCTGGAAGCCGTTGTTAGGACCTGAAGAGTAGGTGATTAGTTCATCAAAAGAGTGAGTTCCCGGAGCGCTCACAGAGCGCGCACGCGTCTTCCCCTGAAGCGTCCTGGCGAGACGTGAACAGGAGCCTCCCTGCGCCTGCCCGCGCAGAGCTGGGCCCCCTTCCTTCCCGAGCCGAGGGCCCTGCTGCGGGAACTCATGCGGGCGGTGGGGCTCTGCCTCTGCACCTCGGGACCACCCGGGAGGCTCTGGAAAAATGAGGTGGCAGGCAGGGCCCCCCTGCGTGAGGCGTCTTCCTGGGCTCGCTGGTGCCGGCGGCGCGTTGCGGGGAAGGAGAGCCGCAGTTTCAGGTTTTTGTCCAACCTGTTGCAACCATGACTCATTAAATAGCATCTTTTGAGCAATTACTTGGCCTTTATTAGTTCTTTCCAAAGGCTTCACCTGAGTTTCCACAGGAATGCCCATGAGAAGCAGCTGCTGTGGTACTTAACGGGCGGGTTTGCAGCGACCACCAGGGTGGACTCGCCACTGCCAGGAAGCCTGTGAGCCCGGCTGGGTCGCAGGGGGCCCGCGGCAGCCTTGTTCCCACGCTCAGTGCCCTCATGCTGGGGGGGCCGTGGGTTGAGGAGGAGCGGGCTGGTGCTTCAGGCGCCCCTGAGGGCCTGGGCGCGTGCTGCCTCGTTCTCACGGTGCCGGTATGTGCCCTCAGGGCCGGCCCAGGGAGCTGCCTCGCAGTACTCCGGCTACCAGCAAGGACAAGGCCAGCAGTACGGAAGCTACAGGGCATCCCAGACGGGCCCGTCCGCCCAGCAGCAGCGGCCTTACGGCTATGAGCAGGCAAGACCCGGCGCGTCCGTGGAGACATGACGAAGGTTTCACTCATGATAGCGCGGAATAACGCGTGAAACGAATTGGCTGCCCAGCTCCCGTCTAGAATGTTAATTCTCTGAGCCCGTGAGGGTTTGAGAAATCACCTTTGCACGTACACTCACCTGGGTCAGATGTGGCTGGCTGAGTGGCTCTGGCCTCAGAGCCCCAGCCCAAGTTTGCGTCCAGCCCTGCTGCTGGCCCCTGGCAACGTGGGGGGGGGGCCTTCCTGGGGGGAGCTGGTAAGGAGCCTCACTGACCTGGTTCAGTCCTTAGCCACAGGCTTGGACGATGGCTTTCAGAGAGCCAGCGACTGCCTTGCGCCATAGCTCTAGGCAGAGAGCTGGTGGCTTGCTTGCTTTTCATACCTCCTTCCGTCCCTAATCCCGGGTTTGGGGGGTGGGGTCCTCTCTGCCACTTTGACTCCTGACTAGGGAAGTGTAACACGTGTTTTGGTCTCCTGCAGGGCCAGTATGGAAATTACCAGCAGTAAGGAACGAGCACTCCTGTTAGAGCCTTGCAGTGGCATGTCCCTCCGGGGATGGTCGGGCCAGCGGCAGTTCTGATGAGCTATGACCTCTCGGTTGCCCTTCCGCCCCGCGCAGCGTCTGCATGTGGCGCGTGCACATTTCACGCTGGGTGTGATGCCGAGCGTGCGCCGCGGGCGAGAGACAGCGCTTTGATGGTGTGACCTATCTGGTGCTGTGTATAGTGTTGTATGTCCATACAGTGGAGAGGTTGTCTCCTTTTTGTCTCCCCCTCCTTGATGTTTCTAGCTAGCTTTAGGGATCCTTTTGTCATCAGAGTGCTCTGAGCCCAGGCATGGGACACAGCTACAAGATGCCACAGTCCATGTGTTCACATAAACGGGCCTCGGGTCTGACTCCTCACACACTTGTCGTAATGTGGGTTGTAAACTTGTCTCTCACTGGCTACACCACAGCTGGACACACGCCACAGCCCCTGGATGGCCACCTCTTCCTGTGCCTCGATTGGGGGGGGCATCTTCTATGTTTTGGGTCAGTTTCTGTTACGCAATGAAAAGGATAAATACGCTTTGTTTGGAGAGGCTGCGAACGGTCTTTCCCAGAGCTTACACGCTCACACGCTACCTGTGTCTCTTGCCAATTGTGTTTATCCAAAATGTCCTGTTTTTGTACTAAAAAGTGAAGAGGGATCAATGAGTATATTCCAAATAAACATACAATTAGCCTAACCCAGGGAAGGAACGAGGGTCGTTCCTGAAGGAAAGACAGGGCAGTTCTCTGAAATGACCGGCATTGGCCCTTGTTTCTCCGATGGTCGTTTCTGGGATTTGAATATTTAATATGCCCAATTCTAAACTGATAAAATATTTATACCAAACTTCCCAAACAGTTGGCAAGTTGTTTGTTTTAATATTATTTCTTTCAGGACCTACTTGTTCAGATCTCCAAGCAAGCGTCCTTTTTCTTTTAGAGCTATCTGAAATTCAGATCTTATTTTTAAAAAGAACCCCACAAATTTTATTGTGTTCTTCCTAACGAAAAGGAAGGGTTTTATATGGGGAAATTTGAGTAAATTTTACATTCCTAGGACATTAAATCCCACTTAAATTCTATACAAACGGTAAAGACCGCTCACTTTCAAAAGCATAGTCAAAGGAAAAACTCAGTATTTCACTAATTAGTAATAGAGACATTTTGGCAACTTTTACCTGGACAGCAGTACCCACATGCATACTTTAAAAACATCTTTGGATAAATGCTGACATACTTCTAAGAACAACCAAGAAAATTTAAAGAAAAAACAAAAACAATTCTTGACATATCAGGTCTACTGAAGATGATTTTTTGAATTGGTAAGTTTCAGAAATGTTTTAAAAGTGTAAAGTAATTATTTATCCAGAGCTGTTGAATGGTTTACAGTTTACGAGGTATTTTATGTTTCTGTTTTGTTTTGTTGCTTGAATGAATCCTGACAGTCCACACTGGGAAATATGAGGGCAATTACTGTTCCCATTTTACAGATGAAGAACCGAGGCACAGATTAAAGATTGCCCCAGATGAGTACCGGTCCTATTCTAGGCTATTTTCCCCTCTTCTGTGGGGACAGAATCACAGATGCTGGGATAGGAGTGTTTATCTTAGAGGCATATGGGTTTTAAAAACTCTTGACACTGGTAAGGGCTTAAAAATATGTATTTATGTTAAATCGGTGAACTGAGAGTTCTTAATTGCTAAATGACACAGACATTAGCAATTTCATTTAGGGAGGTGTCTTCCTTGCTTTTGTTCTGATCTTTCTTGGCAGTTTTCATAGAACTAATTTGCAAACTCAGTCGGGGACTAAAATTCCCCATTGAAAATGTTAAACATTCTAGATAACTGTGAAAGTCGTTTTATTTTTATTCCTTGCCAATCTGCAAATATGCCTTTTATGTGTGTGTGTGGTTTTTTTAAGTGCTGTATTAATACTTTTTGAAAGAAAAGGACACTTGAACTTATCCCAAAACTTCAATCTGAAATGTCTTACATTAAGAATTTCTTGAATGTTGTGTATATATTTTAAAAAGCACTTTGTGAAATAGTTTGTACATTTATTTCCTAATTTATACATGATTTTTGGTATTAATATATTTAATGATTAATAACAGAATGTTTATTTAATGTGTTGTCCATTTTTATGTAATATTGTGGGGGAAAAGTGATGCCAGCAGTTCTTTTTCATTAAACGTATTCTATCTTCTCTTCTGTAATATGTTTGCAAAAGCTTAGGCTGAAGTGAGTTGTTTGTGCGGTGTGGTCAATGGTGCTTTATTGTTTGTGACTGCTTCCACAGAAGGCCAGGGGACATGCAAAGGAGACCCGGATGTCGGCGCTCCTTCTTCCTGTGATGTCCCTGACCCCCAGCAGGTCGTGGATTTGAGACATGCCCACGGTGTCCAGAAGTGCTGACACACTCACAGTGGCTGCAGAGCCTTGCCCCGGTGCGTGGTGGACTGGGACTCGAGCTGCTGAAAGGCCCCCAGTGCTCGAGGCCCCCGGTTCCGCCAGTGTTTGTGCGAGCAGGTGCTCCGAGCGGGGCACCGCTGCTGCTGTCCCCCTTTAGATTTGTGGAGCTCTTCCTTCATTCCTATTAATTGAACAGGTCAGATTCGTCTTACTTGTGAGCACAGTACATTTTCTGGAAAGCATCCTATCAGTTCGTTTTTTTCCAGTCAGAGTTTGGCGCCCATAAATTGCTTATGATTTGGTGTAATGTATGAATAAACTGGTTCTTCAAAACCACCCTAACCAGGGAGTTTCTGTTCTTTGTGTTCAGACCAACAGACCAGCGCCTGATCATGGAGGGGGCAGTGGACTTGTCTGATGGGGGAGGTGGGTGTCATGGGGGGCAGCCAGTGCCTGAAGGGAGATGCCTGTCTGGCGGGAGGTGAGTGTCTGAAGGGGGATGTCCATGTCTGTCTGACTGGGATGGCTGGTATACAATGGGAGGCAAGTGCCTGCCTGACGGGGCAGCAGGTGCCTAACAAGGACAGCCAGTGTCTGATGGGGGAGGTGGGTGTTTGTCTGATAGCGGAGGTGGGTGTGTGTCTGACGATGGCGGCGACTGTCTGACAGCCAGTGTCTGATGGGGTTAACAGGTGTCTCATGGGGGTGACGGATGTGTGTCTGACGACAGGCAGCAGATGTCTGACAGGGACAGCTGGTGTCTGACGGGGGCAGTGGCTATCTGACAGGGGAGGCAGGTGTCTGTCAGGAACAGCTGATGTCTGGTGGGGGAGGTGGGTGTCTGTCTGACAGGGACAGCCAGTGTCTGATGGAGGCAGATGTCTGTCTGATGGGGGAGGCAGGTGTGCGATGGCAATGGCTGTCTGAGGGGGGTGGCAGGTGTCTGTCTGCGGGGGCGTCTGTCTGGCAGGGACAGCTGGTGTCTGGTGGGGGAGGCAGGTGTCTGATAGGGAAGGTGGGTGTGTGACAGCAATGGCTGTCTGAGGGGGGAGGCAAGTGTCTGACAGGGACAGCGGATGTCTGGTGGAGCAGGTGGGTGTCTGTCTGATGGGTGCAGCCAGTGTCGGATGCGGGCGGAGGCTGTCTGTCTGACGGAGACAGCCGGTATCTGATGGAGGCAGGCGTCTGTCTGACGTGGACAGCTGGTGTCTGACGGGGGAGGTGGGTGTGTGTCCGATGATAGTGGCAGCTGTCTGACAGGGAGGGCTGGTGTCTGATGGAGGAGGCAGGTGTCTGACGGGGAAGGGAGCTGTCTGACAGAGACAGCCGGTGCCTGATGGGGGAGGCAGGTGTGTGTCTGACAGGGGAGCCGGCTGGCTGTCTGAGGGGGGAGGTGGGTGTCTGTCCGGAGCAGCGGCTGTCTGACCGGGGAGGCGGCTGGCGGGGTGTCGGGGGAGAGCTGCGGGTGTCTTTCTGATGGGGGCGGCCACGGTCTGACGGGGGAGGCGGTCGCCTGACCCGAGTGGCAGGCGTGTGTCTGACCCGGGAGATCCGGTACCTCCAATCCTTCGCCTCCTCACAGATAGAGGAAAAGCGACCCCGCTCGGGTCCAAAAGCGTGGGCGGGGCTTGGCCGCGTCTTCCGCTCACGCGCGCTGGGCCGGCCCTGCGCAGGCGCGGCCGTGCCGGGGGCGGGTCCAGCACCGGAAGTGACCTCACGGTCCCGGTCCAGACCCCGGAAGTGACGCAGCCTTCCGAAGAGGTGAGTGCGGGCGTGGGCGCCGCCCCGGGGAGCGCAGGAGGGCTTCGGGACCTGGCGCTGAGGAGGCGGGGGCGCGGCCCGGGAGCGCCGCGGGGGGGGCTCGGGCGCAGGTGGCGGGGCGGCGGCGTGGAGTCCCGCGCGCGGGCGTGTAAGGAGCCTTCCGGCGCGCGGAAGTCGGCGGCCGCGCGGTGGCCTGTGGCGGCGGCGGCGTGCGGGGAGGCGGCTCGCGCCCGGCCGGCTCCTCGAGGCGCGCGCTGAGCGGAGGGACGCGGCCGGGGGCCTGTGCCGCTCCCTGCGGCTGTCCTGCGGCCGCGGCTCGAGGAGGCCTTTTCCGGCGCGGGCCGATCCGGCGGGGCGGAGCACGGCGTCCCTCCGCGCGTGCGAGCCCGGGGCGCCCCCGCCGGCCCGGCCCGCGGGCGCTGCGGTCGAGGCGGGGGCGGGCGAGCGCAGGCCCGCGGCAGGCTCCGCGCTTTCGCTCGGGCCGGACCTCGCGTAGCGCCCCGGCTGCTCCCTGCGCCGCTGGGACGGGCGGGCTGGCAGCTCGGGCAGACGCTGCCTTCTGCGGACCCGTAGGACGGAGCTTCGCTCTTCACGGACCCGAGACGCTCGGGCGAAGGTGGGGCCCCGGCCCCGGCCGCTGCGCGCCTCCCCAGCACGTGTACTTGCTGCCGACTTTCGAGCCGCTTTACACGCAGCGCGGAGCCCGCGGCGGGGCCTGACCGCGGCGACCAGGAGACCAGACCCGCGCTGAGATCGGGAAGCAGGTCCCGAAGCCGCCCAGCCACCCTGACAGCCCTTCCCGGCACTTTGAAAGCCCCGCCCTGTAATCGTGGAGCCCGCTGGACCTGGACCGGCTGTCTCCGCGCTCTGGCCCTTGTCTCCGCGGAACAGGCCCGGCAGACGGGTGCTGCGGGGGGCGTTCCAGCTTTTCTCCCTTCCACGGGGCGGACCAGCGCTGTCCGGTGGGACTTCCTGCTGTGCTGCACATGTCGCGTGTGCGACCCGCCGGCCACGTGTGGCCGTGAACGCTTGACACCCGGCGTGTGTAACCGAGGGACAGGATTTTTATGTTTTTTAGTTTGTGATGAGTTTAAACGTGGTGGCCGCGGGCGGCTGGGGCTGCCGCACTGGGCAGTGCCCGCTTTACAAGGAAAACAGACGGAGCAGCAGTGGGAATCCAAGTCACGCTTGCGGGCTTGGCAGCGGGGAGCCCTGCGCCTCCGCCTTCAGCGGGCCTTTCCACACACGGTCGGAAGGGCGGCAAGGAGGAAGCACTTCCAGTTGCGCGGGATTTGGAGCTCAGGTCTCTGGCTGGCTCTACGGGGATGACCTCCTGTGTGCTCGGTGTCCCCGATTTCACGGCGGAGCCCTGTGCCGGCCGGCCGTGGCAGCCGGGTGGGCCGTGTGGCTCTGCAGGGGCCTGAGCTGTGGGTGCGCTGGTACACGTGAGGGCTGAGTTGTCTTTTCCCTTTACTTGTTTCTCACTCCTCTCCTGCCGCCCCATCTGATGGGTCAGGCCGCGGGTGAGTCCCTCCACGTCCTCATCTGCAGGGCGGGGGGAGTGAAAGTCCGTCCTTACAGGGGTGTTATGAGCACCCAGTGAGGTCATCCTAAAAATACTCAGATCAGCATTTTGCAGGTAGTGAGGTGGAGGTCTCGAATGCTGATTGTTCAGCTCGTTTGTGGGGAGCTTACGCGCGCAGTGCTCCTGACTGTGAGTGCGGCTCTTTTCTTTCTTTCTTTCTTTCTTTTAAAATATTTTATTTATTTGACAGAGACAGAGATCACAAGTAGGCAGAGAGGCAGGCAGAGAGAGGGAAAGCAGGCTCCCCGCTGGACAGGGAGCCCGATACAAGACTCGATCCCGGGACCCCGAGATCATGGCCCGAGCTGAAGGCAGGGGCTTAACCCACTGAGCCACCCAGGAGCCCCTCAGATTGTTTTCTAATGTTCTCTTCCAGTTGTTCACTGGGAGTGTGTAAGAACGCAAGGGGTTTTTGTGTATTAACTGTGTAACCTGCGGCCTTGGTTAAATCGTTTTAATCATCATTCTGTAGATTTTTCTTGGGATTTTCTGTGGAAACAGTCATTTTCTGCCTAGCTCCCCCCTTTTTTCAGCTGTTACTGCAGTGTTTACAAAACCGGGTTGCATAGAAGGGGGAGCATAGTGGTCCTTTCTCTGTCTCGGGGTAACAGGTCAGTCTCCAGGCAGCGTGACAGCCGCGTCGGCCTTTGGTGGATGCCCCATCTCAGTTTGGAGGTGTTTCCGCCTGTTCCTCAGCTGCTGCAGCATTTCATTTTCCCGGTCGTGAATGGCCTTGGCTCCTGTCACACGTGTTGATTGCCAGCGGGAGGTGGGGTCAGACCTGCTGGGGGAAGCCTGAGTTCCAGGAGTCTGCCTCCTTGGCCCTGGCATGGCCTGGGCTCAACCGGACACCTGTCCCTGAAGGACCCCACATCTGTGTGCACCAGGGGTGCTGGGCTGTCGAGTTTCTTCGTCGGTAGTACCGGCTTCAGTTTGGGGTCCCATGGGCCTTGTACAGTGAGCTGGGTGGTGACCTCACTTCCATTTTCTGAGGAAGCTCTGTAAGGTGGCTCCTTATTTCTCCATTTCTTGCCTGAATGCGCTCTAGAATCTGCGAGGGAAGCGGGGGAGTCCAGCGCGCGGTCTGGGAGTGTTCTCCCGTAAGTTTCACTTTTTTTGGTAGGTGCGGAGCTGTTCGATTTCCTGTTTCTTTCTGTGTTTACTTGGTAAGTTGCGTTTTCAAGAAAATGCCTCCGTGGGGTTCTCTCACCCTTTCCGCATCTGTACGGTGTGTTGTGAAACGTGTTTTAAATTCCTGACATTGGTGATGTGTGTTCGCTGTTTTCTTGATGGGTCTGACGGGAGGTTTGTCCGCTCTCGGGAGCTGTCCGGCGGGTCCTGTCCGTCTCCGTTGGCGTTCGGTCCTGCTTGTTTGGCTCTTCATTGTGTCCTTCCTTCCGCTTGCTCTTCTCGGGTTTCCTGATCCCAGCTCCTGGGTTTAGGTCCCGCTTCTTTGCTGGTGTGAGCACCCAGAGCTCCGAGCGTCCCGGAGACTACGGTCCCTGTGCTCTCCTTCCCGTGCCGGTCAGGATAGTCTCTCGTTTCTTGCTCGGGGTCGTCTTTTACCTGCTGGATTGCGCGCAGCAGTGTTGTCTGATCTCCGTGTCGTCGGGGTTTCCTTGGGTTCTTGGCCCTCACCGGCCGCAGTTCTGTTGCGGTTGGAGGACACTCTGTACCCACCTGCACAGCTGGCGGCGCCCGCCTTCCCCACGGATGGGCGTCCGCTCTGTGCGGTCGGACCCGCAGTGTGGGGGCCCGTGTTCAGGCCGTTGGCATCTTCACTGCTTTTGGTGGTTCAGTTGTTCAGTTTTGAGCTCCTTTATCACTTCCAGAGAAAACGGCACCGACATCCCTCCTGTCCTTGTGGGATGGTTTGTTTCTCCCTTTAACTCTGTCAGATTTTGCTTGATGTACTTGGAAGTGCCGTCGTGCGCAGCTGTAGCTGCTTGGCTTCCCTGGCGAGCGGCTGTGTGTCGTGCTCGGACGTCTTCCCTTACCTGGTTAGGTCGGAGCACACTCTTGTACTGTTGCCCGTCCCATCTTTCTTTGTTCTGTTAGCCCGTCCTTCGGAGCCGTCGGAGTGGTTTCCAGGCGCCCCGTCATCTGCTCAGCGGCCCCGTGGCCGGCTCTGTACTGCGCGCCGGCCGCTCCAGCCTGTCCTCGCCGGCTTAGCGCCCGGACCGCGCCACGCCATCGAAATGCAGGCGGTTCGCACCCAAACACAATCCCTGCGGTTCCGTCCTGATCCTACACTTTCACGTGTAGGACCTCTGCCTGCATTAAACACCCATGATACTATAAATCAGGGTGATACTATAATTCAGTCTTTCTTGCTATAATATTTAATCTGGGGGGCGCCTGGGGGCTCCGTCAGTTAAGCGTCGACTCTTGATTCCGGCTCAGGTTGTGATTTCAGGGTCCTGGGATTGGGCCCACATCAGGCTCTGCACTCAGTGGGGGTCTGCTTGAGAGTCTCTCTCCTCCTGCCCCTCCCCTCGGGCGCTCTCACTCGCTTTTAAATAAAATAAGTCTTTAAAAAAATAAAGTTAAAAGAAAAGGAGGTGGTCTTGTGCGTTCAGTTTCTGTTGCCGCCCCCCATTCCTAAAGATCCGGATTTCCCTCTGGTGCCATTTTTCTTCACCTGGAGAACTTTCTCCAGCATTTCTGGTAAAGCGGATAGATTGGCAGTGATGTCTGCTTTTCCACCATCTGAGCCTGTCGTGTTTCACTTCCCCTCCTGAAAGGTGTTGTCACCAGGTGTGTGAAGCTGGGCGCGGGGCCCTTTCGGGACTCTAAACACAGCATTCCAGGATGGCTTCATGCTGCATGGGGTCCTGGATCTGGCTCTGGAAAAGAGAAAGCAATGTTAGTGGGGAAGCTGGTGAAATTCAAATGCCATCTGGAGTTTAATGAAAGTACCCAAGCTGGTTTTTTAGTTTGGACAAACGTACCCAGGTCATGTAGGATGCTGATACTAGGGGAAACCAGCTAAGAGGTGTATGGGAGTATCTTTCACGTTTTTGTGAATCTAAAATCATTACCAGATAGGGGCGCCTGGGTGGCTCAGTCCAGTAAGCATCCGACTCTTGGTTTTGGCTCAGGTCATGATCTCAAGGGTCTTGAGATCAAGTCCTGCGTCAGGTTCCACGCTGGGCATGGAACCTGCTTGGGATTCTCTCCCTCTGCCCCACTCCTGCACAGAGGCACATGCTACGCACTCCACGCGCTCTCACATACATACAATAATGCCCAAGTAAAAGTTTGCTTTAAAACAGTGCACTTATAGCACGATAATAGGAGGGTATCCCTGCGGGGGAAGGTTTGGCTACGATGGGGACTGAGCCAACAAACAAACATGTCAAAGATGTTGGAAGCCAGGATTCTGGCAGTCAGAATGAGGTGGTCAAGACCGAAAACTAGCATGAGCCCTGTGGTGTGGCATCAGGCGCATAGTGTGAACTCATGGTTTCCTGCAGTTGCTGCACTCCCGCTGAGGGGATGGGCATAGCAGGCGGGGGGGGGGGGTTGTGTGTGTGGGTGTGTGCACCTTTGTCTGCTCTCGGCCCGCTGAGCCTGCCGGCAGCAACACCCCAGCAGCCTGCCACAGGCGGGGGGCTTCCGAATCCCATCCTCCACCCGAAGCAACTAGGGCTGCTTGAGTCAAGGCTGGCCCCGGGTCACCTGGGGAGAGTGTGAAGCGAGCCCAGAACATTTTGTGTCACGAAGCAGGAAAGTGCTCTGAGATTGATGGGTTGCCGCTCTGGCCAAGCTGAAGACCATTTGAAGATCAAAAATAAATCACAGAGTTGGGCTCACTGAGTAAAATAAGAAGCACGAACCCATGGGAATGAATAAACAGGAAGCTTAGGAGGACAAGGGGAGTCGGTAGGGACCCCCGAGGGCTGGAGCTTAAAGCACGGCAGGAAACCAAGTCCTCCACGGGGCTTGCGGGACATTCTTGTCACAAGGGGAGTGGACATCAAAGGGGACACAGACAAGCCGAAAGACGCCTGGCCTGTGGCCGTGCAGGTGTCGCGGACACGAGAGCCAAGGAAAGGCTGGAGAACGTTCCAGGCTGAAGAAGCTGAAGACCCCTGCGGAGGGGTGGCTGTGAGCACGGCTGGTGGCCTGTTTGCAGAGGTCGCCCGGCTCCGTAGGGGATGATGCCCTTGGGCACAGGGAGCCCCCATGGGGTGTTCTGGGGTGGGGCGGGGGGAGGAAGGTTGGCAGCTTCCCTGCAGGTGTTTCGGGAAGAAAAGAGCCCTTCCCCCACCCCCCCAAACTCCCACTTTTCCGTAACTGTGATTGTTTCCAAATGAGAACCAAATTTTTTAGTGCCTTGCTAAGAGAAACAATTCCCACAAAGGATGTTCCACTAACAGGCAGAACGTGAGATGTGGAGCAGGAGGCGCATGAGGGACGTCTAAGGAAAACCGAATTCTGTTCTTCTGCTGTGTTAAACACGTAGTGGCTTTATAATGACTTTTTAAATATTACACGTACATTTATATTCCTACCTGCACGTACGTTTCACACCTAGAAACGGGAGGAAAGCCTACCCGGTTTTCTTTTATGGAAATGCCCACACAGCAGAGATGCCTGAGAGTGGGTGGGTATCAGGCACTCACAGCAAAGGGAGAAGGGGTGTTGCCCCCTGGAGGGCCAGGCCCCGGACTGCCTCCCATCTGTCCTTGGCACCTGTGGGATGTGTAGCTATTATGGGCTGTTGAATGAACAGGTAACGGTGTGAGCAGCTGGTTAAGGAGAAGTGGCTCACGTTGACTCAGCATGCACATGGGCGGCCTGCTGGGCATTAACTGGCCTGTCCTCCCAGCCCTGTCCCCTGACAGATGCACAGGGTGGGGCCGCACACGGAAGGGTGCCCCTTGGCTCACACGGGGGGGGGGAGGGGCGAAGGGGGAATCACAGCCACACTCCATACTCGGTATTCTCACCACCTTCCCGTTCAGCTGGTTTTAAGTGGTACAAACTAACCCACTAATGTTTGAGTAATTGGGTGTTTTATTTATTTTTTTTTTAAGATTTTATTTATTTATCCGACAGAGAGAGATCACAAGCAGGCAGAGAGGCAGGCAGAGAGAGGAGGAAGCAGGCTCCCCGCCGAGCAGAGAGCCCGATGCGGGCTCGATCCCAGGACCCTGAGATCATGACCTGAGCGGAAGGCAGCGGCTTAACCCACTGAGCCACCCAGGCGCCCCCAGGTGTTTTATTTTTAAGAAGTTTTTATTTGAGGCTCAGATTTTTTGGTTGATGTTTTCATTGATCAGATATTTGGAAACACACAAAGGAGCGTGCATATCTGCTGTTAGAGGAGATTTAACAGTTTACATGGTCGTCTTGCTCCCAGGTGACAGGCTGATGAGGGCAGGCGAGCTTTGCCGGCTCAGCTCAAAGCGGTGAGAGACGGAGGACGTCCTGGCCCTCGGCCCGCTGGTGTGTTTCCGCACCACAGCGGGAGACCGCGCCGCGCAGGGCCTGGCCTTGCGTTCCTCCGGCCGCACCTTGAAACCAAGTGTCTGACTTTGCCGATTTCATTTTTGTTAGGACGCCATGGTGCCTTCGAGGCTTCTCGCACTAGGACCGAGGACTGTGCCTGGCGGCGTGGGGCGCTGGACTCAGGTCCGGCTGTGGCCCCCTTCTCCCAGGCTGCTCTCAGACAGCTGTGGGGACCACTCCAAGCACCGGGAACCCCCCGGGAAGAAACTGCTCTCCGAGAAAAAACTGGTGAGGCTTCTGACCTTGAAGGACACCTGCCACACACCCCCAAGAAAGCAAAGGGCGTTGTTTTGAGTTTTCGGCATCCGGCTCGTTCTGAGTGTATGACGGAGGGGACACATTCAGCTTCCTGAATGTGCGGGAGTGGGATGAGAGCCTGTGTGCCCCGAGCCCCCAGTTCTCGTGAACCCTGCGAAGACCAGGGCGAGTACCAGAGGCTCCAGAAGCTTCAGCCATGTTCCGTCCCTTCAGCTGGGAGGGGCGCACGCACGCTTCTTCAGCACTCGCCTGCGTGTCTGACTTGGGTGCTAGGTACATTCTCAAGGATGTGTGGCCATTTCTTAATTTAAAAGATCTGGGGAGGGGAGGGCTAGGCCTTTAGTTTCATAGTTCTTTAAGCCTTACCTGGTGTTTGTTGTTTATCACAACCTTGTATTGAAAACATGAATGATCTTTGATTAAATTCAAGAAAATAAGTGTTTACGACCCTTCACTTTCTCCTGAAGGGGGGAGGGGGCTCCGCTAAGCATTATCAGGGCAAACAGCGTCTCCCCGTAGACACCTCCCTGCTCGCCGCGGCCGTGTTTGCCGGCCACGTGGCTCAGTGTTCCTTAGGGGTCTCATCTCTTCCCCAGATGGTAAAAATTCAATCCAAGCTTTTCCTCCCCTAAAATGCTCACCAGTTGTGCTTTTTTCCCATCGGGTTGATGTTGATGATGTTGGCATATAACAAAATTAGACATTGAGTTTTTGAAATAGTAATTCGTGTTTTTTCCATGTGGTGGTGCCAGAGAATCTTAAAATACTTGTGTGTTTTTTTTTTTAAATCTGCTTATGGAGTAGTGGTTAGAAATGCCAACATGCTGGGTCCTGGCAGAGGGGCTGTCCGTGCCCACGCGTGCAGCCGGTGGGTGGGCTCGCTAGCGGTCACAGCCTGGCCCCTGGAACCCAGGCGCCTCGGAGAGCTGACCTTCTCGTAGGATGAGCTCGTGTTTTTTAAATGTGAACCCAGTTCGTCAGTCCTCATCCTGTAGCTAGAGTGTGCCTCCCTGAGGAGCCCAGAGAAAAGCTTGCTCCGAGAGCAGTTCTGTGCGCACCGCTGCTGTGGGCACGGCCCTCCGCAGTCAGCTCCTGAGTTAGAAGCCGCTTGTCCCCCAGGACTCCGTCCATTATTGCGTCTTTCCAGGAGCAAAAACCTGGTGTTTCTGTAACGTTCTTGTTCAGTGACTATTTGAGGAAGGATGGAAAGATGCTTTATTAAGGAGGATCCCAGTAGCTCCTGACCTCCTCAGCCTGCCTTTCCTACCTGTTGTCCAGTTTTCGCTTCCAGCGCGTTGACCCACGTTTGCCTACAAACAGTAGTGACTTGTGGAAACTTTCTCACACTTGCATCGTAGGTGAAATTAGCAATTTAGTATCATTAACTTCTCGTTTTAAAACCTGCCACAGATACAAAAGGTACATTTCGCACTCTGCTCGGTCCCTGGAGGGATTGCAGCGTGGGTAATGACCGGGCTCGCTGTGCTCCCTGCAGAAGAGACATTTCGTGGACCACCGCCGAGTGCTCGTCTGCGGGGGCCGTGGCGGCGACGGGGTGAGCTGCTTCCATAGCGAGCCCCGGAAGGAGTTTGGAGGCCCAGATGGTGGCGACGGAGGCAACGGTGGCCACGTCGTCCTGAGAGGCACGTGCTGCAAGGGGCCATTGGGGGAGGAGCGCTGTGTCCGCTCACCTTTGGGGCGGGGCCTTTCCCCCTCCTTCTCATCCTCATGCAAATTTGAATTCAAGAACCGCCGGACGGACACCATTTTGGTGACATTATACGGATGTTCACATTTTAAAAGTTCCTTAAACCAGTTTCAGTGGTGGGTGATGTTAAATTTCAGAACACAAAGCTCATTTACGCTCAGGGACTCTAGCGCTAGGCCGGAAGGCAAAGGGCAGGGTCCGCGTCACTCGCCCCGAATGCGCTGGGAGGCTCTTGATTACGCGGAACGCTGTGGGGACGAGCGGTGGGTAAGGCGGCGACGTAGTCAGCGGTCACGACACGATCAAGTGCGACTGCTGGTACTCTGATGATGGTATCGTGGCAAAGTCTGACTTTTCCAGAAATGGTGTTTTCTTAAAATGAGAACTTTTGCTTTCTAAAAAAAAAAATCACATTGCCAGTTGGGTCACTTGTGCCGTGACTTCACGCCATGGTTCCCTGTGCGTTCCCTGTGTCCTTAAATGGATAGTGTACAGATGGTTGTGCTTTTAACCCAAGGATGGTGAAGGTCCTTGCTCTATGTCACAGCTGACCGGCAAGTCAAGTCGCTGTCCTCGGTGCTATCTCGGTACCAGGGTTTCCACGGAGAGTCCGGTGGCAGGAAGAACTGCTTCGGGCGCAGCGGCGCCCCCCTCTACGTCCTGGTGAGCCGAAGGCTGCAGAGCCCGCCCCGCCTGCCTCCCAGGGCCCCCCTGTCTTGGCCACGCAGCTGCCCTCCATGAAGCAAAGCCCTGGGGTGACGCTTGGTGCTCACTTTATCCCATGTGCATGTATGACCTGTTCAAAAATCATGAAATTATAGTATTAAGGGCAAGACCCCAGGAGCCCACTGTTAGTCTATCCTCACCCTCCCAGGGCATCTCTGGGAGTGGAGACTTGGCTCCTCTCGGATTAGCCAAGTGTTTTTCAAAAGCTCCCATCCACCCTAATGTTTGAGAAACACTATTTCAAAAAGCCATTTATGCCGTCTGCAGGGGGTGTCACAGCCTCATAAAGTCCTTTTGAAGGCTGGGACCTTTTCCTGGTGCTTCAGAGCTCTGCAAAGGGGGGACCTAGTGGTGTCCCCGCCCCTCTGCCACGCGCCCTTCTTCCAAACGTGGACACAGGCACTCGGAGCGCTCTGCCCCACGTGTTTGCTCTCCTGTAAGCACTTTATTTTCAGGTCCCAGTGGGCACGTTAGTGAAGGAGGGAAAGGAAGCCGTGGCTGACCTGTCGCGCCCAGGTGAGGAGTACATTGCTGCTCTGGGCGGGGCAGGAGGAAAAGGTAACCGCTTTTTCCTGGCCAATGAGAACCGCGCACCTGTGACTTACACCCCGGGGCGGCCCGGTCAAGAACGCGTCCTCTTCCTGGAGCTCAAGACGATGGCCCACGCTGGAATGGTGGGTATCATCTGGAGGGGGAGGAGGAATGGTGGGTATCATCTGGAGGGGAGGAGGCGGCATTTCGGCAACAGAGCAAGAGGAAGTCCGGCCCTGGTGCCGGCACGTGCCTCCAGCCTGGACATGAGGGACAGCTTGGTGGCACCGCCCCTCCCAGGGAGGCCCTGGGTGCGCACTCAGGAGCCCACACTCTGACGTGTCCCTGCTCCCCGACCTCGGCCAGGCACGGGCCCTGAGGTGACAAGGTGGGTTTGCCTTTGCTCCAGGTTGGGTTCCCCAATGCTGGGAAGTCCTCCCTCCTCCGGGCCATTTCGAACGCGAGACCTGCTGTGGCTTCCTACCCGTTCACCACTCTAAAGCCCCACGTCGGGATTGTTCACTGTGAGGACCACCAGCAGATAGCAGGTAGAGCTCCAGGGTTCTGCCTGAGGTTGGCCTGAGATGGCACCCGAGCACGAATTATGTAATTCAGAGCTTCCCACCCAAGATGGAGCACTGTCTCTCCTCGTTTCAGCTCTCGTAGTTCTGGCAAACCCACCGACCCCCAGCCCTCTGCTGGCTGGGTTCAGAACCCATGTGTCGCTTTCAAACCGGTGGAAGTCCCGCCTCCTCTGGTCTCCCAGCCTCTGTTGTGGAGACGACATGTGACTCGAAAAGCTTCCCTGTACCATTTTGAGACAAGAAAACTTTTTCCCAGAAGATAATGTACCCATTAAAAATAGTAAGCTGCCGCTCGGGCTGCTCCTACGGCACCTTAGATCGGCGGAGTGCTCTGACTCGCCACCGGGAATCCGGTTCTTAAGTTAACAGGCAGCATTTCCCCCTTTTCTGAATCATTTCTAAAGCCAGAGGCTGGCCCGTGTTAAGTATTCCTCGTGAAGCCAGCCGGCCTGTCACCCACACCCATCGGTGCCCCCGCAGAGCTGAGAGCACAAGTGCCTGGGGCGGTGGGTGGCCTGACCGCATCCCCTTCAAGGCGCGGCGCGCGGGGCCCACAGGGAGCCGGGCCTGTCCCCGCAGCCCCTCTGTTCTGTGTGCCCTGCAGTGGCCGACATCCCGGGCATCATCCAGGGCGCGCACCAGAACCGGGGCCTGGGGAGCGCCTTCCTCAGGCACATCGAGCGCTGCCCATTCCTCCTGTTCATCGTGGATCTGTCGGAGCCGGAGCCGTGGACGCAGGTGGAGGACCTGAAGTTCGAGCTGGAGAAATATGAAGCTGGCCTGTCCGAGCGACCGCATGTGGTCGTGGCGAATAAGATCGACCTCCCGCAGGCCCGAGCAGCTCTGCCCCAGCTGCGCGCCTGCCTGGGCCCGGGCGTCATCGCCCTGTCGGCCGCAACTGGGGAGAACTTGGAGGCGCTGCTGCTGCGCCTGCAGGAGCTCCACAGCCGGCACGTGGGTGCCGAGCTCCGCTGGTAGCCACCAGGCCATCGCCCAACAGTGACCACCCTGACGCGGCTCTGGGTGGAGATAAGAAAGTTGCTGCTTTGCCTTGCGCTGTCCCTGGTGCTCCCTCCCCAGCCAGCGGGCCAGGACCTCGTACGTGTGGGACGTGTGCGCCTCCTGCTGATCTGCTCCCCGCTGGGGCCTCCTGCACCTGCCAGCGTGCTGACCAGCTGCGCTGGGCTCCCCGCCCTTCCTCAGTACCTCTAAGTGGCGAGGAGCCCGTGGCCTTGCAGCTGAGCCGCCGGACTTGGTGGGGCCGAACCCTTACCTGCATGCGGGACCCCGCACGGGAGGCACCGACTCCGGATCCCTGACACTGTCCTCGCCAGTGCTGGCCGCGGTCCCAGAGGCCGTCCGCCCTACGGAGGGGACATGAGGACGCTTGGACAGGGAGCCTTCCCAGCCGCAAGGCTCTTCTCAGATGCCCCTGTCTGAGCAACGCAGTAGGGGCGACGCCTCCCGTGTTGTTCCCGGACTTGGCTGCTCTGTGCAGGAGCCGTTGGCTTCACGACTGAACGCACCCAATATCCGACCGGGGCCGTGCGAGTCATTAGCTGAAGACCCAGGCGCATGTCCCCACATAAGTCTGCGGCTTCAGGCGTGTCCCTGGGGGCCCTTAAGAGACGGTGTGGTTGGGGACCAGGGGTAACCAGGGGAAGGGGCCTTGGGCCCTTTGGGGATTTGCCCCCGGGTCCTTGCTGCCAGCTGCGAGCGTGCTGGGGGCTGGGCCTGCCTCAGACAAGAAGCTTGTGCCCGAGCTTTCAGGAGCCGTTCCGTTTTGATCTACCGTCAAATCTGCAACTAGAACGAGAATCCTTTGCCTGAAGCTTTATTTAATGTCTTATAATTTCCGAAGGCCTTGTGTTCTAGAAACCAGAGATGGATTTTGCAATCTCTTTGCTCTTTCTGGGGCCGCCACAAAGGATTTCGTAGAGCCGTGTTAATTATCGTGGCCTTTCATCTCCAGCCGGCCCCACGCCGGTGCTGCACCCGGGGGGCGACACTGGGGGCCTCCCTGTGTCTGTCCTGCGCTCGCCTGTGCCCCCAGCAGCCTCAGGACCAGACCCAGCTGAGGCACTGCTCAGTATTTATGGAGTGAAGAAAGGGATGGTGTCTGATGTTGTGTACATGGTGAGTTTCTTTTAGTTAAAGGCACGTGTTTGGCGGGAAGATTCGCTGAGCAGCGGAGGCCTGGGCGCCACCTCCCCTCCCGTCCCAGCCCCACCAGTGCCGCCGCTTCCAGCCATGTCCGCAGGGGCCACTGAGGCCTGAGCCGTAGCTCCGTGTATCTGCCTGAGGCACCGCCTGTTGACACCGCCCTCGGCTCGGGGACTCCACTCTCCCGCACTGCCACTCCGGCCGGCCGCGCAGGCGCTGTGATGCGTGGCGCATGAACCCCTGTCCCGCCCCTCACTTTTCTTGGAGCTGACCTCCAGCCTGGGTCTACTTGCCTCGTTTTCTCTCCACCTGGATATTTGTTTCTGTCCCGACGTCTGTCCCTTCCTGTCCGTTCCGTCTTGCAGACGCTCGGGCTCCAGTGGGCGTTTCCTTCCCTGTGCCCCTCCAGTCTGCTGTACCACGCAGGCTGCCCCCCAGTGTCTCCCTCCCTTGCTGTACTCCCACCTGTCGAGGTGGCTGTCACCCGGCTCTTCGCGGCCTTTCTGGAAGTGGGTGTGAAGATGGGGACCTGAGCCGCAGGAGGCAGCATTTCCCGCATTCCCCCGTTTTTAAGCCCTAAGGCATGGCACCCCGATTTCCCCGGCTCCTGCGTCCACTTGCTCCAGAGGACAAGCCTTAGGCTCCTGCACAGCTCCCGAGGGCACATCACCAGCCCTGCCCTCAGCCCTGTCCCCGCCCCACCCCCACCCCGAGAGGTAGGCCCTGCCCTGCTGGCCTCCCTTTGTCTTCATGGAGGCCCAGCCCCTCCTCGTGCCTTTCCTCACATGGCAGTAGGGCTCTTGGTAGGAGCAGATGGACACCCCTGTTTCCCGGTGTGGTCAAGGCCTGGAAAACGGGCGCATTGCCCACCCTGCGCTGGAAACCCAACGTGGCAAGCACGTGTAAATCCGGCCGCAAAGCAGAAGGCCAGAGGACACTGTTGTGTGACCGCAGACGACCCCAGCTCTGCTGCCTGGCCCACCGTGTCCTGTGAGAGTGGGGTCCGTCCCTGCTATCAGCCGGGGCTGACCTGCAGAGTGCGGGGACTGGGCCCACGCGACCCTGCCAGCGCCCTGCATACAGCCAAGCTCCAGCTGGACGGCACGCGCCACCGAGGCCAGAACAAGCCCCCACGGCACCATCCACGGGTCTGAGCCACACACGGTTGCTTCATGCCAGGAATGTGGAGTGGCTTGCGGGAGGGAGTATGCACCGGTTTGTTGCAAAGGTGCGGAATGAGCCCTCCTTGGGTCTTCTCTGTCCAGGTGCCTAGAGACGCTGATCTCCTGGCAGTGGGGTTGGAGGGCCTGGAGCCCTCAGAGCACCTAGCTCGCCCGTCGCCCATCGCGGGGCCACGGCCTTGGGCTCAGTGGCAGGCAGCCAAGATGCCGTGGGGCCGGGAGCAGGGCTGCCGCCTCCCCCGTCTTACAAGGACACCGGTCGTTGGACTTGAGGTACACACTAAGCCAGGATGATATAATTTCGAGATCTTTAATTCCATCTGAAAAGACACTGTTTCCGAAGACGGTCCCACTGTGGTCCTACCCTGAGATTCCGGTGTGTGTGACTGGGGGAGGGGGGGCTGGTGCCGGTTACACAGCAGAGTGGAGAGCGCCCCTTCTAACTCTGAGGTTTTGTACATTTCCATAATGTGCCCGGGTCCCTCCCTCTCCCCACACATCAGAAACCCTCCCTCGGAGCAAAGCCCCCATCCTCCCCCGCTGCACCCCACGACGAGCACTCCCGATGGAGGCCGTTGTGGGGCTGCTCTCTGAGAGCCCAGTGCCCCATAAACGTCCTCCACGACACTGGGGAGACCTTCCCATCCACCCGACCAAAACCAGCCTGCCTACTGGGGCCCACCATGGGCACGAGCAGCGTGTCTCCACTAGTGTGGCTGCCTGACGCTGTGCGGCCACTCCTGCCCCCCACGTAGCCTCCTTGACCAAAAATGCCTCTTTGGCCGGGGCTGTGTCTCACGGCCGGGCCAGTGCCCAGAGGCCTGAGGGCTCAGACGCTGGGCGATGTTAGTTCAGGTAAGTCGTGTCGGGGCCAGTAATCAGAGGCTACCGAGTGGACAGCTTTGCTCAGCGACACACGGGCGCTGTGCCCTCCCCCCAAGGCCGCGTGTGGGGTTGCACCTTGACGGCCCTCCAGAAGCCCCGTGGAGGTGGGGCCCGGCTGCTGGTGCTCGGGGCACTGAGGCTGGCACGGGGCCTTGGTGACAGCCGTCCTGCCTCGACTATGGCCACATGAATCTCTACAGATTCAGAGCTTGAAGAACTGAATGTTTCAGGGGTGACAGACTGTAGTTTGGGACAATGAAGACGGGGAGCTTGAGGGCAGTGCAGGAGCGTGGCACGGCTCGTTTGGTGTCAGCCAGCCAGCATGCTTAGAAACGGGCTAAAGGGTCCATTTTATGTGTATTTGACCACAATAGCAGAATTATCTCAGCCCCCCCCCCAGATGTGCCGTTGCACTCGCACACAAGCGAGTGCAGGTGACACGGGAGTCCGTGGGTCGTGGCGATGCCCATGTCCTGGTGGGGCCCCGCCCAGCCGCTCTGCGAGGCGCCCGTGGGGAAACCGGACGGAGGACACGTGCAGTCTCTGTTGCTTCTACAGTTGCGTGCGAGTCCCCAACCTCAGAAGGGACATCAAAACAGAAAAGACTGGAGAAGCGGCCGCTCTCAAGACCAGCTCTGTGGGATCGGGCCTACATCACCCCTGAGTGCCCAGACTGTCACCACGCTGTCACGCCTGATAAATGCTTGTTGAAAGCAGACACGCATAAGGTTAATAGAACATAATGGATCCGCCTGCAGCCCGCACACCCCTGGGTGTCAGGCTTCTGCAGGGAATGTGCTTCCCGAATCCAGGACACCACGCACGTGCACCGTGAGGGTAAATGGGTCCATGCACGGGGTCCTCGGGGCGGGTGGACGTTGCCGGCGGCATTCATACTCTCATCACTGCCGCGTGGGCTCGGACGGTCAGGGCCACCCAAGGCTGCTTCTGAAAGGGCTGTATCAAGAAAGCCAGATAGGACGGGGGGCCCCCAGGCCCCCTGGTCCAGTGTATGCAGGGCCACACAGGCTATGGGGAGTCACCGTGACCCTGCCCACACATACTTTGTGATCCCACAATCCACAGGCCCCCAAACTCACAGGGCACAGCCAGCGCTGCCTCGGGGCCTTGGAGGCCGCAGATGGGGTGCTTGGCTAGTCTCCGGCTTGCGATCATTTGGTTTCTGAGAAGGTCTTCGCAGAAAATTGACGGGTACCGGTATTTCCCCCAGGGCCAGGAAATTACTGATTTTTGCCTTGACCATGATCTTTACTGTACCTGTGACACTCGGCTCTGGGGGTATGTGCAGTAAGGCCCCTGCTGGAGGTGGAGGGGAGGGGATTGTGCTACCCCACCCCCAGCCCGGGTTCCCTCATCCGTGCAGTGGGGACAGTAAGGCCCAGGGCAGCAGGGTCACCACTGGCCTGGCCTGGGGGCCTTAAGCTTGTTCACTTCAGCCCCACCCAGAGTACTCCAGGCAGCATATCCAGGGGTCCAGGCCAAGGGCCCACACCCTCCAGACCCCCCACCCAAGCACTTAGTCCTTTCCATGGAGTCAGGTGGCTCCTTAGAGCGGAACCCTCCCCCGCATCCCCTCCACCACAGTGTCTGTGAGAAGGACAGGGAGGGTTGCCAGATGTGATTTGAATTTCAGATCCACAACAAAGAACTGTGCGCACTACCACAAAAGCACTGTTTGTTACGAATCTGAAATCCAGATAACAGCTCCTGCCTTTTATCTGCCTGCCCCAAGGGGAAGCGGGGGCGGGGGGGGGGGGGGGGGGCTGGGGGAAGGGCTGGAGGGCTGGGCTGGGCCTGGCCAGGGAGAGGATGGCCCAGGGCTGCAGGGGAGCAGGGGCACCCCTGCAGTCTCCCCCACTCCCTGACTGAGGGCACTGCCTTCTTCCAACCCGTAGAGGGGCACCCCCGGCAGGCAGGAGGTTGGCTGCAGGCCTGTAGCTGGGGCCCGAGGCAGGTGCAGAGCCCCCACCTCATGGCCGCCCACCCACTTCTGGCCCCCACACTGCCCACGGTGGCCGAGACCAGCCGAGCTCACACTCTGCTCTCTCTGTGGGGTATGGAAGTCTCCCTCTGCCTGACAGTTCCTTCAGGGAGTCCCCCTGCAGCCCCAGGGACAGGTGCTCAGATGACCAAGGCCAGGGGAGGCCCCAGGTGGGGAGGGTGGCCAGAAAACTCCCCCAACAGGCCATGCCCCACCCCAGAATCGCATGCTCTAAGTTACTTCCCGGCCCTACCTACGTCAGGACAGCCCCAGCTAGCCACTCCCAACCAGCTGCCCCCTGGTGTGTTTGAGGCGGCCTCAGCAGCAGCCACCCACAGAAACAGACCCCAGAGACAGTGGACACCTTCCCACGTGCCTCTGAGGAGCCATCCTAGGCCCGCCCCAGTGCCAGCTGACCGAAGGGGGCATCTCAAAGGGCCCAGTTCGGATCCCAGGAAATATCCGTGTGACCCCAATAGGTCCCCATAGCCTGGTGGCCTTCACAGAACCACTGCCCCATTGGGGGAGGGGGAGGGCTTCGTCCAAGGGCTCTGAGCCCCCAGCTGGATAGATCTGGAGTCCTTGGTGAATTCAGTGTCTGGTTCAAGGCCCAGCAGGTAGCAGGAGCTCAGGAAAGTTCACTGACAACATTCCTTCAGCTGGTCATTGTGTGCTTGTCTCTGAAACACCTGCGCTGGGGTTGGACTCACTTGGACTTGACTAAAGATTGTCCTCTGTTAAATTGTAGTTTTTAAAAGAGTATATTTATTTATTTGACAGAGATCACAAGTAGGCAGAGAGGCGGGCAGAGAGAGGGGGAGGCAGGCTCCCTGCTGAGCAGAGAGCCCGACGCGGGGCTTGATTCCGGGACCCTGAGATGGTGACAGCAGCCGAAGGCAGAGACTTAACCCACTGAGCCACCCAGGCGCCCCGCCCTCTGTTAAAATGTAACTCCCCACTTTTCCCTGGAAGAGTCAGTCCCTCACAGTTTAGTATGAATTAATGGATTGGTGGCACTGGGGCAGAGCAGAGCCTCAGCTGACAAAGAAAGCCAATGGACCCTGGGGGCACCAGGGAGGGGCCAGTGAAGAAACAGCTGGCCCGCCCTCCCACCCTCCTGGCTTCCCAGGAATATATGGTTCTGCCAAGCTGGGGAAGCAGCCCAGACTGTGTCCCAGGGCAGAGGGCAGAAGGCAGGCCCTTCCCCATCCACTGAGCTGGTCCAGCTCCTCCACCTCAGCTAGGAGCCAGTGTTTCCTGGACTCTCCAAAGATCATCATCATTTAAAGTGGAAGCATTTAAAGATCACGAAATTTGTCATGTTTGAATTTGGAAACTGGTGTGACTTTGGAGTGTCACAGATGCGTTTTCAGCCCAGTGCCATTCGCCACCTCCTCTCCTTACACCCAAAAGCGTCTTCTCCTTTCTCCTTCTCCTTTTCTTTTGAAGGATACAGCTGTGCCCCCTCACCCACGGTCTCAGTGACAGGGTCCCACGGACACATGGGCAGAAGGTCAGGTGCTCCCTCCCGCTCATCCCCTGCCCGCATGGCTCACGTCATTTCATCCC